GGCAACTGAAAGATGTCAACAATGTTAAGAGCCGTTTAAAACTACTGAAAGAGGTTGGTGGGAATGTTCCTCACTTTGTGTCCTATCACTTGGATGATTTACCACCAGTGACTTTTAATAGCCTCGATGTCTCTTGCCTGGTTAGTAAGATTGAGCGCCTAAGTGTAGAGTTGGTCTCCATGAAAAAGACTGTGACTAAGCAGTCGACTGAATGTGAGAACCTTTGTGGAATTAGCAAACGATCGAGTGTGATTGAGCAACCCAGTGCCAGCAAGGGGAATGCAGCCACTATCATGGCCAGTGAGGAGGCCCAGCTCCTTGGACCAAGTCACAGGGAGCCTGCACCTGGACCCTCGGCGTTGCCCGTCATTGAGGAGACAGCTGGCGGGGGGGGATTGAGGTGGCGATGTCCCCTGCACAGAGCCGTGTATTAAAGCATGGCCAGCGCAAGCAACAGTACAGAACAAGACTAGTATGAATCCTCCCAGAGAGAAGACGACCTATGGAATAGTTGGAACGGGTGCAGTGGAGAACATACATGCAGTGACGACTAAGCTGGTGAGTGTGTTTGTGGCCGAGCTTGCTCCTGACTTAGACTCTGGCTAGTTATTTAAAAGAACAACTCTCCAGAGATGTGAAATCCTATATAATATAATATGAAAATTGGCTCTGAGTGCACTCGCTACAGCTCTTTTAAAGTTACAGCTGCATGCAAGGAAGTAGCAGAGATGTGGCCAGGAGGGACCTACGTAAGGTGCTTCTATGAGAATCGCAAGCCTAGGGCTGCGGTAGGGGCTGGTCTTAAGGCATCACTTGACACAGAGATGAGTGTGCCTGAAACAAGGGCGTCCCGTGCATGTTAAACAATGATAAACTGCTATGAGAGTTGTGTCGTATAACTCCCGTGGTCTGCAGCTTGGACAGGATGCTGGAGCGAGAGCCCAACGCACTGTTATTGACAAGCTCTTTGAGAATGCTGATGTGGTGCGTTTGCAAGGGACTTTTTTAGCTATTCAAGATCTGGATGAACTCAACACTGTGAATAATGATTTTCATGGGGCAGGGGAATCCACGACAGACCTAAACACCAGAATTCTGCATGGTAGGATGTATACGCTCCATATGAATGTCACAAAAATGAAAATGAGTACTTAAATAAGCTTGCTTTTATAGGTTCCAACATAAGGGAAAGTGAATACCAATCCATATTTGTCTTGGGGGATCTGAATGCTGATATATCAGATACTAATTCACTTTTTGGTCAACACTTGACACAATTCTGCAATGATAGCAAGGTTATGTTGTCCACTAAGGAATTACTGCCAGCTGATAGCTATACACATGTGAGTGAAGCTTGGCATACTACATCTTGGTTGGACCATTGTATATCTACAGCTGATGCACATGATTGAGATTCTATATGGTTTGGCCACAGCAGACCATATTCCTGTCTCTATGTTCATAAATATTTAGGGTCTACCGGAGCTTGTCTATAGTGACAGCCATAAATCAGGTGAGATACTCTGGACTGGACAAGGCTCACAGAAGACGACTTGCAATATTACAAGTTACTGACTGATGAGCACTTGAGAAGTATTGAGTTACCTGTTGATGCAGTTATGTGTGTGGATAGCAGCTTTAAGAATGTAGGTCACAATAATGGCCTATGTGTAATGCATGATAGAATAGTGAACTGTTTATTTGATGGAAGTGAACTAATAAGAAGTAAAGTGGTGAAACAACATACTGTAAGACCAGGGTGGAATGACTATGTCCATGAAGTTCATAGGGAGGCAAGAGATGCATTTAGAAGTTAGGTCTAAGCAGGCAAGCCTAGGCATGGCCTGCCTGGTCTGTGAGCATAAGGTACGGTCTAATGCTAGGTTCAAATATGCTGTGCGTTTTATAAAAAGAAATGAGGGCGAACTCTATGGCGAGACTAATAAAGTTCTGGAAGGAGGTGAAAGTGGTTAATAACAACAAAATGCCATTGCCTTATAGTATTGATGGCATTACGGAACCTGAAAACATTGCAGAGCTATGGAGGAGACACTATGAGAACATTTTTAACTGTGTGAAGAGCGATGGGTTTAATATAGGAGAGATACCTCACAGTGATGGTGTAGTCATCAGGCCAGAGGAAGTATGTTATGCTATTGACAACCTTAAAATGAACAAAGCCTGTGGGCGGGATAGAATAACAGTAGAACATCTGAAATACGCAAGTCAAAGTATTTCAGTTTTACTTGCTCTATGCTTTTCTGGGTTTATGAAGCATGGCAGGCTTCCTGGATCCATGTTATCTATCCTACTGGTACCTGTAGTTAAAAATAAGACTGGTAAGATAACTAGTGGATAACTATAGACCGACTGCACTTGCAAGTACACCATCTAAGGTATTTGAAGGGATCCTTATGGATAGGCTTGCTGAAAACATTACATCAACAGATCATCAGTTTGGTTTTAAGAACAAGCATGGAACTGATCTGTGTATTTACAGGTACAGATCACGCAATAGCACAGTCTTTATGTGTTTCCTGGATGCGTCAAAGGCTTTTGATCGTATCAATCATGGGAAACTGTTAGCGTGGTGTCCCCTTTTACCTAATCAGGATACTGCAGTTCTGGTAGTCTCACCAAACTATGCAAGTCAGGTGGGGGGTGAGTTTCTCAACACCTTTCTATGTCTCCAATGGAGTGCGGCAGGGCGGAATTCTGTCTCCGTTGCTATTCAATCTGTATATGGATAATTTATCTGGGGAGTTAAAGGGCTGTACAACTGGCTGCTTGGTGGGGGACAGTCTCATTAATCATATGCTTTATACTGATGATTTGGTGGTACTGTCTCCCTCCGTCTTAGAATATGTTCCCAATAGGGATTGAAGTTTGATATAAAATTTAACTCAATGAAGAGTGTGTTACTGATCGCCAAAACCAAGGAGGGTATGAAGTGTGTCTATCCTTCTTTCTTATTGGCAGGTGAACCACTAGAGGTTGTAAAGAAAGTTAAATATCTGGGACATGTGATAAGAGATGATCTCTGTGATGATGATGATGATGTGGTAAACTGTACGGGCAGGCAAACATGCTGGCACGCAAATTCCACATGTGCACTCCTGATGTTAAAATCTCCCTTTTTAAATCCTATTGCACTCCAATGTACACTGCCCACCTACGGTGTAATTTTAGTGAGTTTAAAATGAAAAAACTTCTCGAGTGGCTGATAATGATGCACTGAGAACTGTGCTTAAAATTCCTAGGTGGAGTAGTGCCAGTGAAATGTTTGTGTCCAACAATGTGGCCACTTTTAACGCTGTCTGAAGAAATTTTATGTATAGATTCATGTGCAGACTAATAGGGTCTAAGAATATGATCATTGTGTCCATAGTTGATGTTTCTAAGAGTGACACAAGGTGTGTGTGTGTGTGTGTGTGTGTGTGTGTGTGTGTGTGTGTGTGTGTGTGTGCGCGTGCATATATAGATATATACAGTGTGTTGTCTCTATGGACCTTTGTGTCTTGAATAAAATCATATAATCGTTTGGCTGGAGACGTTTCAATACTACTCGATACTGGGCTACTAAAGTCGATACCTTAAAGAAGTGGATTATGCTCATTTACAGGTTCAAAATCTTATTTAGAGGTTGTACCAGAACAGGTTTACATGGTTTCATTTTCAAAAAACACCATATTTTTTTGTCATACTGCACATTGCTGCAGCTCCTCTTTTCACCCTGTGTTGAAGGCTTCGTTTTAGCTATGGAGTGATGCATCTTGTCTCTAAATGATCTTTGTTGGGAGTTGCACATGCTCAGTTCCTAGTTAAGGACTACTAGCCAATCAGAAGCAGAGAAGGGCGGGTCAGCGAGAAGCCGGTAAACAGCTCGGGTTCAGCCGAGCCGGTCGGCAACACGGACTGGAGCGAGAGTTTCAGAGCGGTGAGTTATTAATCTGTATCCATAAAGTTTTAACTGAGCTCTGTCTCTACATCACAGGAACAACTTCATGTCCACTGACTGCCTGGAGGGTAGCTAGTGTTTGGAAGGGAGAGGAGAGCTGTGTGCTGCAGCTCGCTGTTTCTGAGGGCGTGTCGGAGTCGCCGCTCGGCGAGCGTTATATGAGGCGCGTTTAGGGAAGCGGCTGGACTACAAACAAGCTGTTTTCAGGCAGTTCAGAGCAGAGTTTTCTGTGGGAGATGGGAACTCCCTTTGGGCTGGACTTTGGGCTTTTTCATTTCACAAACCTGTTACAGCACAAAAAAGAATATAAATCAATAAAGGAGAGGGAAAACACACTGAACTTTTAAGATATGAACAGAGGAAACGTCTGTACAGGACAGCGGTGCGCTGGATTTATAACACAAGGCGAAACCAAAGAGGAGCTTAGACCAACACAGAGAGCTGGAAAGAGGCTCGAGTGTAATAATAAATTGCACCAAAATGTTAAAAAGTACGGATATAAGAGCTGATTAATGCTATGGTCTTATTTCATTTAGCCCCCGGGCCGTTTAACACTGGGTTTTTAACAGCATTAAATAACAAGAAACGTACAAGCCTCGTCCCAATACTGACACTAGTGCCCGCCCGGCACCAAACGGTCCAGCAGGTGATTAAAATCTACAGAGCATCAGTCATGTCGGTGAGGGGAGCTTTGGGTGGGTTTTACTTGCATTTACTTTCTTTTGTTTCCATATTCTACTTTGTTGTATTTTACTGACAATTTTATAGTTTTATAATCTTTGCCTTTCAACAACAGCATTTCACTGTGTAACCCTGTCTTGTATAGCGACAATAAAGCTGAACCTTGATCCTTAGTTTGTGAATGAAACTGTCCGCAAGTTGCAGCTGCTGAGGCGTCTGTGTGGATCAGCGAGGGTCCGCCATACTTTATTTACACCTGGAACTATCGAACGCAACTTAATCCCTGCTTCCTTCAGTCCAAACGAGGTAAAGGTCTTGAGGAACAAGCTACGCTGAAAGCATATAAAAACAACAAACTCACCTTTCCCAGCTGCTGGTGAACACTCAGGTTGTACATCATCACAATTCCGTCCACAATCTCCAGCAGGGACTTGTCTGCGATTGGCTGATCGGGCTCCTCCACCGGTCGCCCCAGCAGCAGCCCGTCGTTACCGTGGCTTCCCTCAACTTCGGGTGAAAGAGAAACAAACAGGAAAGAAAAACAAAAAGTTTGGAAAAGTAAAAATTGCAGGTGTGAAGTGACTGTGGGTTGGGATCTACAGCTGCAGGAAGCAGAGGGCGGAGGTGTGGGATCGTTCTTCCACCAGCCTGCTCTGGATAATTGGCATCACACTGGGGTTTTTTTCTACTTCTACTCAAGTCAATCAACAAGCTGCTCACTGGACACAGAGCTGAGTGAACATGCAGCCGGCCTACCCAGTGTCAAAGTCACAGCAGCATCAAATCAACATGAGCCCTGCAGCTCTGACTCACAGTCTACCTGTGAGGCTGATTACACTGAAAACCACCCGACAGGGAAATCATTCTGAATCCAGGAAAAATGAAAGCTTCACCAGCAGAGAGGGACTTCATTATCTGGAAGCGTGGCTTCAATCAGCAGAAAACTCCTCTGACATCTGATGGCGGTTCATGTCAATGACACCAAATCCCTTTTATTTACACAAATATAAGATGATTTAGTTTTTCTGGACGGTACGATTGAAACAGTGGACGTTAATTTATATTTGAGGATCACAACATCAGGTTTTCTTCTTTAAAGGAAATGTGTCTCCTGCAGAGAGCGTTGCATTGTGGGTTGTTTGAAGCCTTATTGTTGCTAGGCTAGCTGGTTTCTTCAAGTGCACTAAGGGCTGGGCAATAACTTAATAATGATAATTATCGCAATATAATTTTCCTCAACAACAAAAGTTTAATAAATGTTTGATTTAATTCATTTTATAGTTTTTAATTCTCTGCCTCAATTCTCTGCCCTTAAAGAAAGAAATAATGATTAGACATTTATCCTGATAATTATCTATATCGAATGATATAAAATGTTTTACAGTGATAACATTTTTGGCCATATTGCCCAGCCCTACACTTACAGCGAGTTTGTCAGAGTCTGTGTTCGGTTTGTCCAAATTTGACCTGCAGCAGATTCTGTCTGCAGACGTCTGAAACAGGCTGTCAGAGAAAATCATTTCGACTGCTTCAACAGTCTGACAGGAGAGACAGCGAGTCTGACAGACAAACAAACTGTGCTTTAATAGAGGTATTTAACGTGTCACTTATAATCGGGGTCGTCTAACATTCGGGTCAGTACAGTAGATTTCTTTTCCATGCGATTAGTCGACCTGTGAAACACATGAGAATCAACGTCCCTATGCAGCGACTCCCCTCTGGGCAGGAGAGGAGGCGTATTGTTCCTGAATGACACAACGAACATCCTCATACACTCACTTGCACAGATGTAGTCACAGAGATCAGTAAATCTTAACTTCTACTTAAGTAAAGTATATATTTGTAAATTAGTTAATTGTATTTTATTCCTTTATATTTTTAACCTACCTCATGTCTTGTAACTGTAATTTTATTTTTATTTTATGTGAATCGCAGCTTCTGTTACACCTCTGGGATGAATAAAGTTAATTATTCTAACGATCTATCAATGTAAGAGACAAAACATTTTCTTGACAAAACACTTGAGACATTTCTGCATGTTGGAGAAATTGTTTTCTCTCTTGATTTTCCGCTCTCAGAGTCTTAAATCTCATCTGATACGAGACTGTTCTCAGTCACTTTTTTGCGTCTCTCTTTGTCACAAATCTGATTACAGCCTCTTTTCTGTGCTGCGTGTAACTGAGGATCGGTCCTCCTCCAGTCCAGGAGGAGCTTAATCTGGCTGATATCTGGCTTTTTGAGATAATCGGTCGGTCGATACCTGCACTCACGAGGCCGAAAAGTGTCTGCAGGAACATCTGTAGGCAGCCTTGCTGTGGAACAATGTTTTGTGAGTTTTGGGAAAGTGGTGAGAAAGTGAGTTTGGAGCCCTAAATGTCCTCAGTCACTGTCCTCTTTTCTACAGCATTACTGGCTAGCGTTAAATATATAGATAGTTATACAGTAGAAAATAATGCAGCTGAGTAATGTCTGACAAACTGAACCCCGCTCTCCCTTAAACCCCAGTCATGCTCTGAAATCTACAGCAGAACCCAAAGTATGTTTCGGTTTCATTCATACATCTGAAACATCACCTTACTGGCTGAGATTAGATTGTACTCTGCAGGAATAAAAGATGACACACAACTTTTCTTTGTTTTGATATCAGCCTTATATATATATCTATATCTATCTATCTATCTATCTATCTATCTATCTATCTATCTATCTATCTATCTATATCTCGTCCTGCTCTCTAAATATCGACATCGGCCAAGTGTTGATGCACCTGAAGATGTTTGGTAACTGACAAAAACCCCAGAAGAAGAACTTCTGAGCAGTTTAGTTACAACAATAACTGTTTTTTAGCAGCGAGCTAACTGTTATCCATGAGCTAACACAGGTAGATTTACCAGGTAGGGAGAGTAATGACACACCCTACCCAGTTGCATTATGGGAAATGTAGGACCCTGGGATTCTGGAGTTGAGTAACACTCTGGACTAAAAGTCAGGATAAATCGGCTTCCAACTTTATGGAGGAGCAGCGTTAAATCGGCGGCCTGCTTTAATCAGTGTGACGTGGTTAAAGACTCACTGTCCTCCTCGGTCCTCTGCTCCACAGCGAGGGTCCGGACTTTCACTTTCTCCGGCTGTGTGAGGGGTCGTCTGGGAGTCATGAGGCTGACGGCGGCCGTGCTCAGAAAACGGTTGGCTCGACCCAGCGTGGGAGAGCTCAACCAGCTGGGCCTCGCCAGAGCGCCACCCATCGCCGCAGCACCGAACGGCCTCTGTTGTCAGTAAAAATACACAGATTAACAATGTGTGACACCAAGATCACACTTATGGACTTTGCTTAAAATCGACTATATATATATTTTAATATTTTTGCCTCGAACTTGAGTTTATCACAGACGGTATTAATGACATTGAGACAAACACCAACTACAGTTAGTCCTTTTTATCTCACTGGGGTAAAGCTGATTTTGTCTGTTAGCTACCATGCTAGACTGTTTTCTTTATACATCCATACACCTACTCTGGTAATATTAATTACACAGCCTTTGCTATTGTTGGTTAGCAATAATGAAAACTGTTAATGACAAGTATAAGTTACTGTGGTTAACTTCAGTCCCTCCAGGATCGTCTACTAACAAACACTTTGCCGCCACATAAACATGTAGAGAATGGAAGAAGCGCACGGAGGATGTCAGACGATACAAATCACTGAGACAAAGTGTGCTGCATCTCAGCTGCAAGTGCTAAAAGACTCAAGGTAAGCTGGTTTACATGTGCAGGTTTAGGGTTCGGCTCGCCAAGTGCTGGAGGGACTTTTTAATGATTCATCTACAATTCTTAAGTTAAAAAAAATCAAATCTACTTTTGCAGCTCACTTGTCCCAAGAACATCCCAACATCCCAACATCCCAAAGATGTCACAAAATCAGGCCGGAGAAATCCCGGAGGGACTGGTACATGTATAATATAAAAGTATATGCACACAAAGAACACATGGAAATAGAAACCGGACACCTGAGCTGCTCCGCTCTCCTCATCCTCATCCAGGTCGTCCATGGATGTGGCCTGGATCTCTGCAGGGTCGATGATAATGTTGGCTTTACTGGCCAAGTCATCTGGGGGACAAAAAAATCAACAACAACACATGCATCATATCAAAACAACAGTTCAGTTTCATTCTGTGTTTTTATTTCGCTGCACATGGAGCTCCTGAAGCTAGGAGAAAATCTGAACCATCATTGCATCATTATTTCTCCACAGAAAAACACAGAACGTGAAAACACAACAGGTATCAGCCTGAGCAGCCCACAGTCAAACGTGTGAGTCCAAAACACATCACGTTCTGCAGCAAACCGCCTTTACATCAAAGACATGTTTTCTGTTTGAACGAGAAGGTGCGAGGCGGATCCACTCTTGGAACCAGAGAAGAGATGAAAATCAGACTGGATCCTGCATGAGGGGAGGTGTGGTGATTTTTTTTATCTTTGGGATTTCACACTGAATGATTCAACATGTGTTTCATGTCTGTGTGTTCAGATCTATTCTATAGTTATGACTCACAGAAGGAGTGCGATTTTTGACTCAAATTCTCCTGCAACTCCGGCGCCCCCCTGAGGAGGCTTTACTCTTTGCTGAATGTCTGTCACAGAACACATCCAGTAGTTTCACATGGTTTAAAGTCCTGACAGTGAGTTAAATTACCGACGAGCACAGAGAAGATTTCCTCTCCCACCGCCCCCCCCCCAGATAGACCTCTGTAGCAGAAGCTGCCGTGCGTACTTCGGTCCTGTCACGTGTACTTTATGCAGACGGAAAAAGCCCTGCCTGGCATTCAATCAAGTTGATTAGTGAGCTAATCAATAAATGAGATCAAGCTTAGTTAACAACAGATGACACAACATCATGAGGGCAGCCAGCGGGTGATGAATGACCCCGGTGATTTGAAAATCGCTAAATTACGGGGGTGTTAATCAAGCCTTGATTGAATGCAGGTAGAGAGGTGCAGGCTGGACACAAATACTGATGAGAGAGCAGGAAGGAGAAGGGAGGGAGCGACGGAGAGACAGAAAGAGGGGGAGCAGAAAGTGTGCAGAGGAAAAAAAGATGGAAACATGTGACACATATGTCGTGATTTCTCAGAATCAGATTATTTCTATCACAAATAATATAGAATTTATTTAGTTTACAATAGATTATCAGTGTGTTTTCTTCCCAGAGTCCCTCGCGGCTGTGACTACACCGGCTGCTCTGTCTGAACAGACCGGGTTAACATGAGCTCCAAAAGGAAGCTGGCGGTGCTTCAGGGTTCTTCTGCCTTCTGTGCGTCCTCTACAGGTTAACGTTCCTCTCCAGAAGGTCAGAACAGACCATATGTGTTTTCATCCAGTCTCAATCATATGATCATTTCTTTCTGAACATGAAACCAGTGATTCCTAATCAACAGTCTGTTCAGGACAAAAGTTAAATAGATTTACTATCAAGTATGATATCGTGTACAAACTAAATTTTTTTCTAAATAATTAACCACATCAGCACTAATTAATTACTCAATATTATTTCTTAAGCCCAATTCAATAATATGGTTTCTTCACCTCATTCATACTATGTAGGTTGAGTGGGGAATTGTTTTCTCTCTTGCAGTAATTGTATATAAGGTATAGCTTTAGAAACTGATGAAGTGGTGGCACCCCAATTTGAAACGCCAAATGCGTCACCTTGCGGTGGTTTTGCATCTCCTTGCGGTGGTTTAGCATCTCCTTGCGGTGGTTTAGCATCTCCTTGCGGTGGTTTAGCATCTCCTTGCGGTGGTTTTGCATCTCCTTGCGGTGGTTTTGCATCTCCTTGCGGTGGTTTAGCATCTCCTTGCGGTGGTTTTGCATCACCTTGCGGTGGTTTAGCATCTCCTTGCGGTGGTTTTGCATCTCCTTGCGTTTGTTTTGCATCACCTTGCGGTGGTTTTGCATCACCTTGCGGTGGTTTTGCATCACCTTGCGGTGGTTTTGCATCACCTTGCGGTGGTTTTGCATCACCTTGCGGTGGTTTTGCATCACCTTGTGTGCATCTTTGGTTATCTGGTTATACTTTTGCTGCGCATGAGTCACTACTACCACACATGCGCAGTAGGAGTGAAACAGAACCTTGCGTCAGTTGAATCACACATTTGGCTGAAATATGTTTTCCGCTTTGGCTGTTAAAAGCAGACAATTGGCATTCTAGCGGGAGGGGCAGAAAAAACGCCATCTTTGGCGTTGCGGGTTTTCCCCATAGAGTTGTATTGGGAATGTGATTTAGTTAGTTAGCGTGTCTCCTCTAAAAACGTCTGTCACATCATTATGATCTGAAGAAGGACGAGGTCAAACACTCCATCCCTGCAGAGAACCGAAGCCTCCACAAACACCACGTTCCCTTTAAAGGAAGAAGTCACAAAAACAATCTCACCCCTACAGAGTCGTCTGAACAATCAGACCTGCTGCTAAGAGCCGAGCTAATGGTCTAAGATAAGTGTTACGACACTGAGTCATGGAGTGTGAGTACTGTGAGTATTAACGGCTCACTCTGTTTGAATAATTAGATTATAAGCAAGATCATCAAAACCCAGAGAATGTCAACCTCATTTTGTGCCTCTAACTCTTTAAGCTTTAATATTTCACTTGAAGCCCATCGTCACTAAAGTCATTACACCTCTAGCCTGAAACCAGATCCTTTACTGATCATCTCTGGCTGATGTGAACCAAAGCTGAATCTTACTTCAGCTTAGAAACTCTCTCTCTCATTGTACAAAGGTTTTGTCTGCACCATTAAAATGCCTCTGCATTAATTCATTAACACCTTATATTTGGAGAAGATTCGATTTGCTTTAAGGAACAAACTTTAATTTAGTACAGCTGAGGCTGCTGGGAATGTAATTCTGCAGGTAATTTGGTCATTAACCAACTGATGATGGATTATTGATGAGGATCACCAAAGTTATTACAGTTCATCCTGAGGGGAACATGAAGGTCTGAACCACATTGCATCTAATCCATCAAACAGTTGTTAAAATGTTACAGTCTGGAGCAAAGAGGTTGAAGGACGACCTTCGCCATCTCTAAAAATATGGACACAGTACAATATGGAGACAGTTTAAAGCTTTGAGCTGATGTCAAAGAGTTTTTTGATGTCCTCAGCTATTAAGTTCCTCTCCTTCAAGAGGAGTGGCTTTTGAAGGACTTTTGATTAACCAGCCTCCCCATTCCTCTCTGAATAAAAGTGAAGAGCAGCTTCTGCCTCTCAGGAAAAATCGAAATGAATGTAGCAGGTAATTGATTCCAGCTGTGACTCAGTGACTCTGCAGAGGGAATATCTATCTACATTACTCACCTGTCTCCCACCTGCTGACAATGACAAGAACAGCAAACGCAGCAGTGCTTCAGTGTGAAAAACTTTATCCAGTGTGGTTTGAAGTTTCTGTATGTCTTTGCCGCCTTCTGTTGCGTTTCTTTGCCGCCCTCTGCCGCGTTTCTTTGTCGCGTTTCTTTGTCACCCTCTGCCGCGTTTCTTTGCCGCGTTTCTTTGTCGCCCTCTGTTGCGTTTCTTTGCCGCCCTCTACCGCGTTTCTTTGTCGCGTTTCTTTGTCGCCCTCTGTTGCGTTTCTTTGCCGCCCTCTGCCGCGTTTCTTTGTCGCTCTTTGCCGCCCTCTGCCGCGTTTCTTTGCCGCCCTCTGCCGCGTTTCTTTGTCGCCCTCTGCCGCGTTTCTTTGTCGCCCTCTGCCGCCCTCTGCCGCGTTTCTTTGTCGCCCTCTGCCGCGTTTCTTTGTCGCTCTTTGCCGCCCTCTGCCGCCCTCTGCCGCGTTTCTTTGTTGCCCTCTACCGCCCTCTGCCGCGTTTCTTTGTCGCCCTCTGCCGCGTTTCTTTGTCGCCCTCTGCCGCGTTTCTTTGTCGCCCTCTGCCGCGTTTCTTTGTGACCCTCTGCCGCGTTTCTTTGTCGCCCTCTGTTGCATTTCTTTGTCGCGTTTCTTTGTCGCTCTTTGTGACCCTCTGCCACATTTCTTTGTCGCCCTCTGCCGCGTTTCTTTGTCGCTCTTTGTGACCCTCTGCCGCGTTTCTTTGTCGCTCTTTGTGACCCTCTGCCACATTTCTTTGCCGCCATCTGCCGCGTTTCGTTGTCGCTCTTTGTCACACTCTGCCGCGTTTCCTTGTTGCGTTTCTTTGTCGCCCTCTGTTGCGTTTCTTTGTCGCCCTCTGCCGCGTTTCTTTGTCGCTCTTTGTGACCCTCTGCCGCGTTTCTTTGCCACTCTCTGCCGCGTTTCTTTGCCACTCTCTGCCGCCCTCTGCCGCGTTTCTTTGTGACCCTCTGCCGCGTTTCTTTGCCGCGTTTCTTTGTCGCCCTCTGTTGCGTTTCTTTGTCGTGTTTCTTTGTCGCTCTTTGCCGCCCTCTGCCGCGTTTCTTTGCCGCCCTCTGCCGCGTTTCTTTGCCGCTCTCTGCCGCCCTCTGCCGCGTTTCTTTGCCGCTCTTTGCCGCCCTCTGCCGCCTTTCTTTGCCGCCCTCTGCCGCCCTCTGCCGCCCTCTGCCGCTCTTTGCCGCCCTCTGCCGCGTTTCTTTGCCGCCCTCTGCCGCGTTTCTTTGCAGCCCACTGCCGCGTTTCTTTGCCGCTCTCTGCCGCGTTTCTTTGTGACCCTCTGCCGCGTTTCTTTGTCGCCCTCTGTTGCGTTTCTTTGTCGCGTTTCTTTGCCGCCCTTTGCCACCCTCTGCCACATTTCTTTGCCGCCATCTGCCGCGTTTCTTTGCCGCCCTCTGCCGCGTTTCTTTGCCACCCTCTGCCGCGTTTGTCGCCCTCTGCCGCGTTTCTTTGTCGCCCTCTGTTGCGTTTCTTTGTCGTGTTTCTTTGCCGCTCTTTGCCGCCCTCTGCCGCGTTTCTTTGCCGCCCTCTGCTGCCTTTCTTTGCCGCGTTTCTTTGCCGCTCTCTGCCGCGTTTCTTTGTGACCCTCTGCCGCGTTTCTTTGTCGCCCTCTGTTGCGTTTCTTTGTCGCGTTTCTTTGCCGCCCTTTGCCACCCTCTGCCACATTTCTTTGCCGCCATCTGCCGCGTTTCTTTGCCGCCCTCTGCCGCGTTTCTTTGCCGCCCTCTGCCGCGTTTCTTTGCCGCCCTCTGCCGCGTTTGTCGCCCTCTGCCGCGTTTCTTTGTCGCCCTCTGTTGCGTTTCTTTGTCGTGTTTCTTTGTCGCTCTTTGCCGCCCTCTGCCGCGTTTCTTTGCCGCCTTCTGCCGCGTTTCTTTGCCGCCCTCTGCCGCGTTTGTCGCCCTTTGCCGCTCTCTGCCGCCCTCTGCCGCGTTTCTTTGCCGCTCTTTGCCGCCCTCTGCCGCCTTTCTTTGCCGCTCTCTGCCGCCCTCTGCCGCGTTTCTTTGCCGCTCTCTGCCGCCCTCTGCCGCGTTTCTTTGCCGCTCTTTGCCGCCCTCTGCCGCGTTTCTTTGCCGCCCTCTGCTGCCTTTCTTTGCCGCTCTCTGCCGCCTTTCTTTGCCGCGTTTCTTTGCCGCTCTCTGCCGCGTTTCTTTGTGACCCTCTGCCGCGTTCTTTGTCGCCCTCTGTTGCGTTTCTTTGTCGCGTTTCTTTGCCGCCCTTTGCCACCCTCTGCCACATTTCTTTGCCGCCATCTGCCGCGTTTCTTTGCCGCCTTCTGCCGCGTTTCTTTGCCGCCCTCTGCCGCGTTTGTCGCCCTCTGCCGCGTTTCTTTGTCGCCCTCTGTTGCGTTTCTTTGTCGTGTTTCTTTGTCGCTCTTTGCCGCCCTCTGCCGCGTTTCTTTGCCGCCTTCTGCCGCGTTTCTTTGCCGCCCTCTGCCGCGTTTGTCGCCCTCTGCCGCGTTTCTTTGCCGCGTTTCTTTGTCGCGTTTCTTTGTCGCCCTCTGTTGCGTTTCTTTGTCGTGTTTCTTTGTCGCTCTTTGCCGCCCTCTGCCGCGTTTCTTTGCCGCCTTCTGCCGCGTTTCTTTGCCGCCCTCTGCCGCGTTTGTCGCCCTCTGCCGCGTTTCTTTGTCGCCCTCTGTTGCGTTTCTTTGTCGCGTTTCTTTGCCGCTCTTTGTCACCCTCTGCCACGTTTCTTTGCCGCCATCTGCCGCGTTTCTTTGCCGCCTTCTGCCGCGTTTCTTTGCCGCCCTCTGCCGCGTTTCTTTGCCGCCCTCTGCCGCGTTTCTTTGCCGCCCTCTGCCGCGTTTCTTTGTCGCCCTCTGCCGCGTTTCTTTGCCGCTCTTTGCCGCCCTCTGCCGCGTTTCTTTGCCGCTCTTTGCCGCCCTCTGCCGCTCTCTGCCGCCCTCTGCCGCGTTTCTTTGCCGCCCTCTGCCGCGTTTCTTTGCCGCCCTCTGCCGCCTTTCTTTGCCGCTCTCTGCCGCCTTTCTTTGCCGCGTTTCTTTGCCGCTCTCTGCCGCGTTTCTTTGTGACCCTCTGCCGCGTTTCTTTGTCGCCCTCTGTTGCGTTTCTTTGTCGCGTTTCTTTGCCGCCCTTTGCCACCCTCTGCCACATTTCTTTGCCGCCATCTGCCGCGTTTCTTTGCCGCCTTCTGCCGCGTTTCTTTGCCGCCCTCTGCCGCGTTTCTTTGTCGCCCTCTGTTGCGTTTCTTTGTCGTGTTTCTTTGTCGCTCTTTGCCGCCCTCTGCCGCGTTTCTTTGCCGCCTTCTGCCGCGTTTCTTTGCCGCCCTCTGCCGCGTTTGTCGCCCTCTGCCGCGTTTCTTTGCCGCGTTTCTTTGTCGCCCTCTGTTGCGTTTCTTTGTCGTGTTTCTTTGTCGCTCTTTGCCGCCCTCTGCCGCGTTTCTTTGCCGCCTTCTGCCGCGTTTCTTTGCCGCCCTCTGCCGCGTTTGTCGCCCTCTGCCGCGTTTCTTTGCCGCTCTCTGCCGCCCTCTGCCGCGTTTCTTTGCCGCTCTTTGCCGCCCTCTGCCGCGTTTCTTTGTCGCCCTCTGCCGCCCTCTGCCGCGTTTGTCGCCCTCTGTTGCGTTTCTTTGCCGCCCTCTGCCGCGTTTCTTTGCTGCCTTCTGCCGCGTTTCTTTGCCGCCCTCTGCCGCGTTTCTTTGTCGCCCTCTGCCGCGTTTCTTTGTCGCTCTCTGCCGCCCTCTGCCGCGTTTGTCGCGTTTGTCGCCCTCTGCCCCGTTTCTTTGCCGCGTTTCTTTGCCGCCCTCTGCCGCGTTTCTTTGTCGCGTTTCTTTGCCGCGTTTCTTTGCCGCGTTTCTTTGTTGTCCTCTGCCGCGTTTCTTTGTCGCCCTCTGCCGCGTTTCTTTGTCGCCCTCTGCCGCGTTTCTTTGTCGTCCTCTGCCGCGTTTCTTTGAGGCGTTTCTTTGAGGCGTTTCTTTGTTGCCCTATGTTGCGTTTCTTTGACGCGTTTCTTTGACGCGTTTCTTTGACGCGTTTCTTTGACGCGTTTCTTTGACGCCCTCTGCCGCGTTTCTTTGTCGCGTTTCTTTGTCGCCCTCTGCCGTGTTTCTTTGTCGCTCTTTGCCGCCCTCTGCCGCGTTTCTTTGTCGCCCTCTGTCGCGTTTCTTTGTCGCCCTCTGCCGCGTTTCTTTGTCGCTCTTTGCCGCCCTCTGCCGCGTTTCTTTGTCGCTCTTTGTCGCCCTCTGCCGCGTTTCTTTGCCGCCCTCTGCCGCGTTTCTTTGCCGCCCTCTGCCGCGTTTCTTTGCCGCCCTCTGCTGCGTTTCTTTGCCGCCCTCTGCCGCGTTTCTTTGTCGCTCTTTGCCGCCCTCTGCCGCGTTTCTTTGTCGCTCTTTGCCGCCCTCTGCCGCGTTTCTTTGCCGCCCTCTGCCGCGTTTCTTTGCCGCCCTCTGCCGCGTTTCTTTGCCGCCCTCTGCCGCGTTTCTTTGTTGCCCTCTGCCGCGTTTCTTTGCCGCCCTCTGCCGCGTTTCTTTGCCGCCCTCTGCCGCGTTTCTTTGCCGCCCTCTGCCGCGTTTCTTTGTCCACCTCAGCTTGCTGGTGAAATGCAGCACTGATCTCTACAGTGCAGCATTTCACTTCAAAGAAACTTATCAACCTGTTGAAACCTCTGTGAATACAGACGCGACAGATACCAACCTTTGAGTGTTTTCTTCAGGTGGGAGAGGAGGCCCCCGAGTCTCTGTAGGTCAAAGTAGTCCACCTTCCCGTTGTAGAAGAGCTGGGGAGGGACGTAGGCCTCTGCAGAAAGACGACACAGGGTTACACCAATAATTTGGTCAGAATGAATGATGGTTTGGGAAAATAAGACAGAGGAGATGGATGAATGAGAGAGAGAAGCAGGAAAGTGAAATACATTTAAAAATACAGATGTACACAGAGACAGATAGAAAAAGGCACAAAGAGAAGAGGAAATATGGCAGAGGGCAGAAAATTAGCAGAGCCAAGAGGCAGAGATAATGGCTGACAGGGGAGCAGAGATAGTGAGCACACCATAAACAACCTTCATTATAATTGCAAAGCAGTAAATGTACAAAGAGCGTCCTCGTCCTTGTTGCTAGTTTCAGTGATTATGAGACCGGCCCCCGAGAAGTGAAGAGCAAACATGGAGGGCAGGCACACACAAAGACATCAAATACATCTATACACACAGACACAAGTATACAGCATATTTTGTGTAAATACAGAAAAGGAGGCCATGGGTTTAACAGCTGTTTAATGATAGGTTCTTCCATTAAAACACCCCGAACCTTTAACAGAGAGCTTTGAGAGGACTAAAATATAGTGAGATTAACATTAGCAATCAGACATTAGTACAGTGTGGGCGGGATCAGGTGCAGAGTTTCATTTCTACGGTATGGTGCATTTAAAACTCCCTCACATCATCCTGCACATATTAGAAGGATCAGAAGTTGGCTTATTACATTAAATGAACTTATTACATTTCAGCGGGACTTTGGAAACAATGCATTTATGTTCAGTTGACTCGACTACTGTAACAGCATCTTTACCAGGTTTCCCTAAAAGAAATCGATCAGACAGCTGCAGCTGAATCCGAACGCTGCCGCTCGAGTCCCCACTAACACCAGGAAAGTGGATCACATCACTCCAGCTCTGAGGTCTTTACACTGGCTTCTTGACTCACTGTCAGAGAACGAATTTTAAAATACTGCTGTTGTTTTATAAAGCTCTGAATGGTTTAAGGACAAAATATATTTCTGGTCTTCTGCTACGTTATGAACCTTAAAGACCTCTCAGGTGGTCTGGGATCAGGTCTGCTTTCTATCCCCAGAGTCCAAACTCAACAGGGAGAAGCAGCGTTCCCAGAAAACTGCAGATCTGCTGAAACTCAGTTCTTTCAAATTGAGCCTTTTCTTTTTCCCGCTGCCTGTTACTAAATCTAATGTGAGGCTTTTGATTAATATCTTATGCTGCATTTGTGCCTTTTACCCTTCTGATTTATCTCTTTTTAATGGTATTTAAATGTCTTTTTACATTGCCCTGTGTTTTATGTCAAGCACTTGCCTTGTTGATGTAATGTGCCCAATGGTGCCTAAATTACACGATACTGATTTATTTGAATGTGAAATGACATAAATCATGTTGTAAACGGCTGCAGCGCATGGACGCACACAACGTATCGGATTAAAGAGTTATTACTGATCAGTATGATGCTTTTACACATTTTAAAACACTGCTTATTTCATTAAAACTATTTATTCACATTTTAAGCATAAGCATGTATTTAGTTTGATTTTGCTGAAAACACCAAAGCGCTTTTCTCTGGTCGCTGCGCCGCCACAGAAATAATAATGGCTATGAATGAACTATGAATGAACAAATGTGAATAACAGTGTGCTGCACCTTCACTGCTGACGCTGCCAGGAGTCTTCCTGTTGCCTTCGTCCCAGCTGGCCCTCACAGCCGTTATGAGGCGGTGGAGGAAACACACCATGTACTCTGGAGGGCAAAGCGCTGTCGGGTGCTGGAAGAAAAACACACGTATGAAAAGGATTTGTGCAAAGAGATGGTGGAGGGAAGACGCACTGGAACAAATATTGTTTGTTAGTAAAACTGGGCTGCCAAAATTAACACACTAATAACACTGATAATTTATTCTGGTCCAAATAAACTGAACTAAACTGAACTTGTTAAAAAAGAGACTTCTCACCTGGCCCATAATATACGCGGATTACAAGCATGATGACAATTATTTTCTTTATCGATTAATACGATAAGTATCTTCCAGATTCATCGATTAGAAAAGTGTCTATTACATATCGGCAGATATAGAAAAATGCTCATCAGTCCGAGCTGACGACTTTGAGAGGCTGGAACAGATTCAAACAATGAATCAACCAATCGTTTCAGCTCTAAACTCAGCTTATGTTTGATGCAAATACACCTTAAAACAGCATTACACACAATATAATAACAATACAAATAGTTATCTAGTATTGTGCAGTTTACAACATGACCTTTGTTATTTCCCACCTTGGTTGACAGATATTGTGAAATACAGTGCGAATGTGTTTATATTTAGTCCTCAGTTGGATTGTGCTTCTAACAAAATGAAAATAAAAGCTGCCCTGTAGACAGATAGTGAGACAGCTTTCTTCCAGACAGAGATTATCCCCCAAATACAATACTGTGCAGAGATTTTAGGCAGGTGTGGGAAATGTCTGCCTCCCTGAAGGAGTTGCATGACGGATAAGTATCTGCCTGTACATCTCAGGCCATTCATTCTGACCTAATCCCCAAGTCTGTTTGCAGAAATGCAGCCCCAAACTTGCAGGAGACCTCCACCGTGCTTTGACTGCTGCCTGCAGACACTCGCTCTCCAGCCCTTCGGCGAACAATCTGCCTTCTGCTGCAGCCAAATATTTCAAAACGGTAACTAGAAGCATTGATGCTGTTTTGAAGGCAAAGTGTGTTCACACCAAATACTGATTTTATTTAGATTTTTTTCTTGTGTTCGCTCACATTTTGTTAATTCATAAATTTATTCTACTAACGTGTGTATTTTTGAAAGCATTCTTACTTTACAACAGCATAACACATAATATAATAACACCAGCCTAAAAACTTCAACACAGTACAGTATGTCCGCTAACAGTGATCACAGACTAACAACGTTTTTAAGTGTTAAACGGCAAGTAAAAGGTCAGGACCACCGACGCCTTCTTACCCCTCTGTTGCTGGCGTTTTCTTGGAGAAACTTCCTGAACTTATTGAGGAAAATGTAGCGAGAGGCTTCCCCCTGGAAGAGACACAAAGACAGAAAACCAGGATCAGACTGCGACCCAGAGATACTGCTTCAACTGCTGGACAAAGTAAAACATTCAATGAAATGAGGAACCTTTACTTTAACAATCTCAGATTTCAAAGAGCTCTCAACTACTTCAAATACTCAGAGAAGGAGACACATAATTAATATATATTAATCTTCATGATGTGTTATATTTTGATGTTTTGGCAACGTTGAAACGTTCATATAAAAAATAAAGCTCTTGTAAAAGGAGATACTGAGACAGTAAAGCGCACACCACCAGTGTCGTTTCTCTCTGACGAACATTAATTAAACACCAAGTCACTGACGGCAGATCCGATCCAAACACCAGCTCCGACCAGCAGCGGAAACCTCACGAGGTCTTTTTAATTAACTCGGTCACTGTAGTGTGGAGAGTTAGTCAAGTAAATCAACTGGACCAAATGACAAAGTTGTTGATTCAGTATTTCACCATTTCAAGAGGCCGAGGCCAACCAAGCGAACATAATAACACGCTACAGCTGCCCACTGATCAACGGCGCTGACACACAGCAGCTAGGGTCACCACAGCGAGGTGGTTTGGTTTACGCACCTCCGAGACTTAAGAGCCTTAAGTCCTGGACTTAAGGAGATAATTAAAAGTATTAAGATGAAAAGATCAATGATTTATAACCTGCAGAGCGGCGCTGTTGCTTCCTCCTCAGAGTCTGAAAGCGGGGGATTCGTGTCAACATGGCAACCCTGCATTCAAAGCTATATTTAAGCCCACAGCTGGTGTGACAGCTGAAACGTGGATCCTGTTATAATAACTAATCTTAGGCGGTGTCTTCTTCTGTCGGGACGTTTAAAATCCCGGGTTCCCACATGTGGTTTTCACACAAAAGATGGAGCAGATCAGTGTTAATTTTGAAAAGAATTTTTAAATTGGGATTTAGTCACCTACTGGAAATTAGTGGATTTTAAGTCAGTTTTGCTTTGTTTTAGTCAAGATTTCGTCTGCGGGGATCCGTTTTAATTGTAGTTTTTGTCATAATTATCATACGATACGGTGCTGATTTTGCTGAAGGACATTCTAGCTGTATTAAGGACTGTGCCTCATTTCTTTCCATATGACAGTAGGTTTTTAATGTACTCCAATAGCCTTCTCTTCTCTTTCTTCCGACCTGGCTTGTGCTCATTCTTAACGATCAACTCATTTGCGTTGCTTTGCATAGACGGAGCCAGTTTAGGGTTTAAATTCTCTCACAATCTGCACTTGCAGAAAAGAAAAACAACAAATGTTTGGACCTGCTCGGCAGACTCCAGGTTCTCTCGTGTGCTGAAAGAAGGCATGAAATTCGGTTTGTTTCCCCGTCAGCGCACAATGACATTATTTGTGTGGTAAAATATTTTTTTAATGAACGTCGTCGTTACAATTAAGTCATGGAATAAAAAGCCGTCAACAAAATGTTTTCGTTGACTAAATGAACACTGGAGCAGATTTTGGCAAGGAGCTCTGTGAAAGTACCGGCTGCTGTTTATTATTATATTGTTAAATGATAAAATAATAACAATAAACACAATATGAACTGTACGTACCGTAGCTTTGTCTTTGTTATTGAGCAGCAACTTCAGGATCTGGACCTGCAACTCCTCCACAACTAAGGAGGAGGAGAGCGGAGTCAGCAGGACAGAGAACAATGCAGGAGTAAATGTACTCACTTTAAAGACCTAAACTATATAAACTACGAATGAGAAACTTGATGTACTTTTTCATACAGAAAACACAAGTGTGTTTGTCTGACCTTCAATCCTCTTTTTCAGTCTCTGACAGCCTCTCTCGTACGCTCGCCGCCTCAGTCGCTCATCTGCACTTTCGTCTTTGGGCTCCCGCTCATCTTTCCCCTGAGTGGACAATAAATAATAAACAAATAAACAGCCAATCAGTGTCCGTCTTATTAGTCGGCCCTGTCTGCCTTCACAACAGGCACAAACACAGGTCACATAAGACTGTTTGTGGACATGTCATGTGACATTAGAGAATATTACAGCCTGCAGGTGACGATCAGGTCAAAATAATCAGAAAGACTCTGAGTGGCACGAATAAGTGAATAATAATAATAATAATAATAATAATAATCTTTATTTGTAGAGCACTTTTCAAAAACAAGTTACAAAGTGCTTTAACAAGTATAAAGACAATAAAACACATAAAAACAACAACATGATAAAAGCAAGAAAACACTAAAATTCATGTTTAAAATAAATATAAAATATACATAAAATAGGATAAAATAAAGTCAAATAAGATCAGGAAAGGCTCTCCTATAAAAGTATGTTTTAAGAAGGGACTTAAAAGAGTTCACTGACTCAGCCGACCTGATTTCCTCGGGCAGGCTGTTCCAGAGCCTCGGGGCCCTGACAGCAAACGCTCTGTCCCTTTAGTTTTCAGTCGAGACTCTGGAACAGACAACAGACCTCTGCCCGAGAATCTCAAGGTACGTGCTGGTGCGTATGGGACTAAAAGGTCAGAAATATAACAAGGCGAGAGGCCATGAAGAGCTTTAAAAGTGATCAATAGAATTTTAAAGTCAATTCTAAAACATACTGGGAGCCAGTGTAATGAAGCTAAAATAGGAGTAATGTGGTCATATTTCTTTGTTCTGGTTAAAAGCCTGGCAGCTGAGTTCTGGACAGTCTGGAGTCCATCAATAGATTTTTGGGTTAAACAGGTGAAAAGGCTGTTGCAATAATCCAGGCGTGATGAGATGAAGGCGTGTAAAATGGTCTCGGTGTCCTTAAAAGTTAACATAGATCGTATTTTTTTTTATACATTTCTCACCTGGTAAAAACACGATTGCACAAGCTTTGTGGTGTGCTGCTCGAAACTTAACTTAGAATCGAACCAGACGCCAAGATTCTTTGCAACAGGCTTAATGTGATTCACCAGGGAACCAGCAGATGGCAGTATTTGATTTGCCATCTGCTGGTTGGATCAAATAGAGCAAAGTTTCTCATTTATTCCTGCACAAGTTCAAAGCTCTATTCTCCCCTGTCTGTCTTTTCTTAATTGTGCACGAGGCCAAGCACAAAATGATGAACATTATCTTTTAATAAGCTTAGAGTGATCAGTGAACATCTCCTCCCATGTGACCTCCGTCTCCTGCAGCTCTGATACACATCAGCACAACCTCGGACACTCTGTAAAAACACTTTCACTCTTGAAAGTGTTTTTGTTCAGTCGGGACAGAGGCGGTAGATAAAAACATGTGCAGAAGTAGAAAATGTCATTAATGGAAATATAATTAAGTACAATCGTACTGTCTCCGTTAGACTGGGGTTGTTTTATATTAATGAACACAAGGCCGGATCAGTTTTCAGGTCACCTGAGGAGCGAGCAGAGTGAGCAGCAGCAGCAGGTGAGTTTGTTTTACCTCCTTGTCAAAGTGCGTGGGCCACCAGGTGGTCGGGATGAGCTCCTCTAGCCCCGCCTCCTTCACTCTCAGCGGAGTCTTGATGTAAAAAAACACAACCGAACGCAGAACATCGAACGTGAACGTCTGTTAAGGAGAATATTTAACAGGCACCACTAACGAACGTTTGACTATAACTGTTTCTTCAGAGCAGCTTTGACTTCCTGTGAAAAGGGAGCTCTGGCTAGTTTTCTAGTTTTTTCAAAGTCTTCCAACGTCAGAAACAACAGAAGGATATAAGACGTTGTTCAGCAGGTATTTCCTGGACTTCTCGTGATGCAGGATGGCCGTGGTCAGACGCAGGTAGTGGATCTGAAACACAGGTAGAAGCGGGAAGAGGAAATTCAATACTCGACAAACCTGCAATATTCTAGTTTCTGTTAAATACTTTTATTTTTAAGGACTTTAATTCTTTCCAACTCAGTCATTATTATCACTTATTATTTATCCATTACATACTGCAGAATACTGTTTCCACACTTTTAGATTTAAATATTTACTTTTTATATTTTGTACTTGCCAACATTTGTATTATTATTTATATTTCTTTAACCGACTGTTTAGCAACGTGAGCAACTGTAAGGCAACAACTTCCACTCAGGGATCAATAAAGTACTTTACTGACCGGATTCCAAGAGATTCCTGCCGAATGTTCATTTTTTCTCAAAAAGTATATTTGATCAAGTTAATTTAGTTTTAAATCACCTTTATTTTTTTAGAATTAATATTTTATTTATTAAATTCACATATTTACTAACACAAGTCCGTGAACCTTTTCATCCTGTTTCCCTTTTTAATATTAAAACGATCTTTTCTAACAAAAAAAAAACAAAACTCTGTCAAAACTGTGTTCTTACGGATACAACCCAAAAAATAAAAACCTCAGGATCCAAAGAAATAAATGTGTGATTTGTGTAATCAGTAAAAGTGTGGCTATACAGTTACATTAAGGACTTAATGCAGATGCTTCCTTAGAGCAGTGGCAGGTCCAGGACCACCTGCCTAAATGTCCTACCTGGAAGCCCAGGTCGGGGATGATGGGGGAGAAGCGGTAGGCCCTCAGCAGGGACATCATCAGCTGCTTTAGACACTCATTCACTTCATAGTCCTGCAGAGAGACACACGGACTGAACTCAAGCTGGTAACTCAACAGTAACTTGCTCAAAATCAGTGCATCGTGTTGCGACTGCAGAGGCCATTTAACACAAACGCCTTCATCATACGGACTTTGTTTCAAAGGTTCTCTGATCTCTGAGCTCACAGCCCACCCTGGCTCCACAGGTACAAACTAACTTTCTTCCACATTTCACAGGAGCCAAAGAGACTCGTAGGGATTCGAGCAGCTGAAGTTGCCGATTTGTGTTTGCGCCAGAAATATAATGATGAGAGTACAACTCTCACTGCATGACTTCACATGCTGATGCACATTTAGTCTCCGACTGCACATTTTTTGATACGGTTGATTTCTGATTCACAAAAAATGTGAACGTAATCTGTGTCTGGGCTTGTTTTACTTTATTCATGGGGTCCAAAAACCTGGATTCCACTTTGAACCAAAATGCTGGACCCACAAATTTAACGGGTTGTTTGAGGGTCAAGACCTGGTTTTAGGGTTCAGGTTAGAATGAAGTTACAGTTAGAGTAAGGGTTAGGCATGTAGCTGTGATGGTTCAGTTAGAGAATGCATTATGTCAATGACAGGTCCCCACAGGGATAGAAGAACAAACGTGTGTGTGTACCTCCATTAGCAGCCAGAAGAGATCCAGAAGCTGCTGTATGAGCGGATGTTCATCCACTGAGCCTCCTCCCTCCAGAATCCCCAACAGGAAGTTCATCAGCACGTCCTCCACCAGGTAAACTTTACACTGCGGAGGAAAAACAACAAGTGGAGACGCCATCAACACGGCACTTCGGACGCCACGTCACTGCTGCATTTATTTACTCTGTTAAAGACAACAAAACAAGCGCACAAACCTCTCCCCAACGTTAACTTAATGATAATCTTAACTTCCAAACGCCCGAGCAAAATGTAGCCAGAGACCAGAGTTTGTTTTATGTTCCAGTTATTTTAAAAAGACATTTTTACTGCATAAATACACGCCAGCAGTTCTTCGTGAAACCACCAGATGGTGCCAAAGTTTAAACTTCTAAACAGAAACATGGTGACTTTAAAACTGGTGCCCAACAACCAGAAGACCCACTGACATCTAGCACCTGGAAGCCCCCATAAAGCATAACAACAAGATGAATTCAAACTCTCACTTTCACCGACTCAACCACAAACAACTACTAACAACTTTTTTCACCATTAATGGAGCGAAGTGGTTGAAGATGTGAGCCAGAGTGACGAGGACCGTGGGTTCTCCGTGAAGCCTCCAGGCTGCACAGTCCTGCTCCACCAACCTCTCCTCCTGCAGCGAGGACACAAGCAGAACAAACAGAGAGGAAGAGGCGTCGTTAAATCCCCACAGGAGACGCAAAACACAAGGACTGATTGAAAACAGGCAATTAATTAACTTTGCAAAAAAATAAAATAAAAACATCGGCTGTTGTTCTCTGTAAAACAGACAATTACAGTTTGTTAAATGTGAAACAACAATTATTAGATTATTAGATGAGCTCATTAATTATAAAACACAAATCAAACAAGCAGCACGAAGCCAGTAAAGACTGCAGTCGACGGTTCCTACCTGCGTGTCGAGGGAGGTGGAGAGGACGTTCTTGATGTAGCCCAGGAGTTTCTGAGCTTTCACCAAGTCTGCAGTTGGGGGGTTCTGGAGGGGCAGGTAGCCTTCCACAGGGTACGTGAATCACACTCAGGTCAAGGACGACAACGTACAGATAAACAAGTATGAAGTGAAAAGATGCAATAATCCTGCGCATCTCCTTTATATATTCTCATCTGTGCTGAAACAACCAACCGCGTGAAGACTTGAGCGTCCTTCTGTAAATATTAACTTGAGCAAAACCTGTGCGAGTACAGAGGGGGTGTGCAGAGCGTTGTGTGGCAGACGTTTGGGATTATCTTCAGTCTCACTTCTCAGGCTGTCTGCGGTTATCGTAGCAGTCAGCGGGCACCTAGAGCTCAGAGATACTAGTTCATATTTATACAGAGACGGGACAGAACAGTAAGCAAAGGAAATTAAACTACCAGGGCCCCGTTTCAGAAAACGGGATTAGTTAAAATTCTGAGTATATTGAGCTTGAGATGAGGGAAACTCTGGGTTTTCTGTTTCAGAGAGCGAGATCAGATAATCCATAGATCAGTAACTCCGGCAACTTATCCTGTGAACCTCACCTCCTCGGGAGGACGTGAGGTTCACAGGCTATTAGTTTTTTACCCAAACATGATCTTGAACATGACGCTTTATGATCAATCTGTCATCGATGTTTGGACAGATCTCAGCACATCGTGGATTTATCCTCAGCACAGAATAAAATCTATGTCCGTCATTAAGAATAACGCTACAGTAACAGAGTGAAAACACTTACTTTGAGCTAGATGTAAATGTAGTTTTAAAAGTGAGTTTTTTAATTTTTAGCTGCATATATTCTGAATGTGGTTTGACAGCATTAATAAAATATGAAATTAGCAAGATTTTATTAATGTAAAATAGACGTCTAAAACTTCACACTCAGTTTGAACCTATAGACACATTTTCCACAGCAGAAAGATAAATGAATAGAATAACCTGCTGGGTGTGACTGTACAATCACAGGTTCACGAATAAACTGTGTCTTATATTTGATCTATACATATTTTCATAATCAGGTCGCCGATCGCCACCAGCATTTTGTCCCGTCGGTAGACCAAGTCAAGAACAAGATCGGAGTTTATTGAGACAAGACCAAGACTTTTAGGGGCTGAGAGCAGTCGAGACCAAGACCGAGGGAGGGCGAGACCGAGTCAAGACCGAGACCAGTTCCCTGCATTGCATGGCACGCAATAAAATGTGGAACGAGATCATAGGTAGTTCACAAATTGATCTGAAAGATCCACATTCCCATTAAAACACCCACATACAAACACCAAGAGCTGAAATCAACGTAAGCGTCGCGGGGAGGGGGGGGACAGTCGTAAATTAGGGTTACTGGTTGCATTTGAAGCAATAAGTTTTACTTCCAATCAAAGTTAGGATGTTAACAAATCAGACAATGCAAAAGCAATTTATTGATATTCCTAAAGTTATGCCCTTGACTGCTCTTGAAATAAAATGGTCTTAAGTGGTCAAAAAAGTCAAGACCGGTCTCGAGTACTACAACACGACCCGTCGGGTTACAGCTTATTAAATATAGCCCTCCTGTTTAAAATGAATGTAACGGGCTGTAGGAAAATTCCAGCACTTTATCATTTATTCCAGTCTGCTAAATGATGAATGAGCAACGCTGTATAGCAGCCTAACAATGTTAACGTGTTGATCCTCCACTCCTGTGTTTTAGAGCCTATCAGGGTCCGCGTTGGCACACATTCAGATTTCTAGATCCACCCCATTAAAATGGAGGATCTGCCTTTATTTACCCGTTGCCACGGTGAATCGTAGTGTCGGAGCGCTTCCAGCTGGTTCAACATACTCAGCTTTGATTGAACGAATTCTGATCAGCTGTTCTGGGACCGAAAAACTCAAGAGTTTCCCACCTCAGGCTCAATCAACTCAGAGCGCAGGGAGAAGCTCAGAGTTTGTTAAGACTGCTTTCTGAAACTGGGCCATGGTTAGTTCAGAAAATATGTATCTGTTACTAGGGCGACACTTTGTGTTGAAAGGCGGTGGGGACAAAAGGGCTGAGATGAAAAAACATTTTTTAAGCATTTGTGATTTCAGGATTGTATAACGGGGAGATTGGTATGAGATCAGAGTAGATCTTCACAAATTAGGGCGGATCGGGAAAAATACACCGCTTTTTTAGGACAAAGCACATTTGTTTCTTGTGTCTCGGATATCTGAGAGGTCTGCTGCCAAAGTTGAAGGCCACCGACTCTTTGAAGGAGAGGCTGATGGCGGGAAAGTACGCCACGCCTGGACCCATCTTGATGTCGGTGAACGCTGTGCCCAGAGACTGGCCGTTCCTGAGGACACAAACACAGCATGCAGGATCACAGCCACAGCGCTAATTAAACCAATTTACACTCTATTTAACGTCTCTCTGGCTTTTACAAGTGTTGCGTGCGTCTCTTAATGACGAGGCAACAGCTGCTGATGTAATGAAATATAAATCCTTGACTTACAAGCAGAACGTGATGGTTCCCTCGTCCAGGTCTATCAGACAGCTGACGATGTCTCCAGCTGCCCACGACTGAGGAGAGACAAACTGCTGTCAGCGCTGGCAGCTGGTCACGCAATATAATACAATATAAAAAGAAACACAGTCAAACTTCCTGGTCCTGTCTCTCTGCGTGCGTCTTCACCTTTCCATAGTTAGTGGTGGTCACGTTCCACTTTCGCACTCTGTTTCCATCGTAAGCGTAGGAGTCAGGAGTGTCGCCCACGCCCTCCTGCGAAGAAAACACAAGATCTCCTGTTCAGCAACACACACTCGGGGTTTGATGTTAACGACTGGGAATGTGTGTACAAGGCGCTGCGTTCACTCCGCAGGCATTATTGCTCAATTCAGATTTATTGTCCAGATCCAATGTTTCTGATTTGACATTGTTTTTTTTTTTAAATGTTCAGACTCCAGTGTGAACGACATCACACACAGAATGCTGTCGTACGGAAGTGAACATGGAGGCCACAGAGGTTAGCGTCTACGGTCTATTTCAGGTGGAAGAAAGGGAATTTGTGACAAAGACAGCAAAGTGATTCATTTTTCATTCCCCGCAGCTCCGTCTAAGGCAAAATGGTGACGCTGGTCGTTGTAGAGTGACGTCAAAGTCATCTGAACTCCAAAATCCAACCTGCGTTTGATTTGCACCACGTATGAAAGAGGCTCAAATCCGAGCTGGAAAAGATCAGATTCTGTGCGGTTTGCTCACACTGTTAGAAACACATCCGACCTCGGTCACACGTGAGCAAAGAAATCAGATCTGGGTCACTTTGTCTGCAGTCTGAACGCAGCCTTATAGACCGTTCTGACACCTGAAATATAAACAGATTTACTGAACACGGCAATAATGAATAGTTGCAGTAACTGTGGCTGTTTGTCACCTTTGTCTCTACAGTGCATGTACTGCGTGTGTGTGTGTACCTCCTGGTTGAAGCGACAGTTGAGAGTACACCACCCGATCTGCATCAGACCCTGGGAGGAGATCAGCACCTCGTACGCCCATTTCCCTGCAGACAGAAACAAAAAGAAAAGACTGTTTGTAGTTTATTCTAAATACTGAGACAGTGCTCGTTTTAAAGCACAGCAGCAGTGGTCTCCGACCTTCTGACTGACCCACAGCTCAGAGCCCATTACACACTGTTAAGGATATAAATGTGACTTTGAGTGTAGTAGCTGAAGAGTTCAACCACACTCAGACCTCTCCAGTCCTGTGTACTATCACAGCTGGATGCCTTCGTTTCTGACAGCGGGGAGCTGTTCTGAAATATTCTCAGTTTAAACACGGACATCATTTGTAGAACACCAGCAGATTGGGAGATTTAATCACTTATACGTGCCACTAAATAACAAATCTGTAGTCCAGCCTGTCCAAGGACCCCTTGGTAACAGCAGAAGTACCTGGTAAAAAGACATAAGAGAGGATTTACCTTTATAAACACATGTGGTGGCTCTGATGGAGCTGAAGTTGCTGTGGCCGATGACCTGAAACCATAAAAAGTCAGAATTATTAGAATGAGCGACACTTGTTAAGGGGTTAGGGGTGGTGATGGAGCAATGGACAAGACACATGCCTTTGGTGTGAGAGACCCGGGTTCAATTCCCCACTGTGACCCATCTACCATTGTGTCCCTGAGCAAGACACTGTAGTTGCTCCAGAGGCGTGCGACCTCTGACATGTATAGCAATTGTAAGTCGCTTTGGATAAAAGCGTCAGCTATATGAATAAATGTTTAATAAATAATTTAATACAGAAACGAGAGAGAGGGCAGATATGAAAGGATTTTACTTTTTAATAGCTTTTATTAAGAAATATGACGGAGAGATCCTGAACAACATGTTACATGTGTCGTTTTCCTCACTATACAAGAGTATTTCAGTGTCATCAAATATTTGCTAAGCTGTAAGCCTTGAAGTAAATTTTCATTTTATATGATAATTTAAATGATCAAATAGGTCTCGCTTTTATTCTTTGATTTAAATGTATTTTTGTGCATTCTTTTTATGTGTTATTTAAAGGGCTGGGCACGTTAACGCGTTATTATCTCGTTAATGCAGTAATTAATCAACGCTGACAATTATTTTATCGCACGTTAATGCAGTCGTTTTGAAAATTATTATTATTTTGAAAGCCCGATGCTCACTGGCTCTGAATACACATCCAGTCAAACCATCGGCCACCCAGACAAGCCGCAGAGGGAGGCTTCGGCAGACTACACTGGACGCAGCGTGTGGGAGAAGCAAGACTCTATAGAGAGTAACCACGGCAACGGCGTCTGTGCGCATCACAGCTGTAGCCAATTTCACCTAAATTAAAATTATAGGCTACATACCGCGACAGATTAACGGGAACGTTAACCCGCTTGTCGCTACGCCTTGAGCTCGAACGCTTCAGCTCACTCTAACAGGGACACTTGATACCTGCCGACTGAACACAGACTGTTTCTGCTGCTCCCTGATAAAAGAAAAATGTTTCTGCTGATACCTGATCAGAAACCCCCAAAGAAAACTGGACTCTGATGGTAACTTGTTATAATAAACTAGATAAAAGGTAACAGCTTTAGTTTAATATTTGATTTCATCAATGTTTAAGTTGAGATTTACAAGAAATATTTTATTGCTGCTGTGTAAAGGGAATACTGTTAGTAAAGAGCTCCTAGTTTGTAGCAGTTTTATAGCAGTACATTTAAATTAGACGCAATTAATCGCAAGAATATCATGCAATTAATGGTGATTAAAAATTTTAATCGTTGCCCAGCATTATTTATTTATTGTACAACATGTCTTATGGCACACTAAGTCCGCCTCGTGTACGAGTTGTGCCATGTAAATAAAGTTCACATACGCCACATTTAACTTTATCTCAAAGCTGTCAGAACCAATTCGTTTTTAGACTAAAGAACTTAACTTGAACAAACTTCCTCTGGCGGATGGGTTAGACTGTCGACAGCGACCGACCCAAACATTCATACTCAGTTGAACTCTGCAGATCAGCAGATTGTCTCTACAAATATCACAAGAGCTGGAACTACAGTCAGTCAACCGCTGCTCTATTTACGGGCTGACGTGATGAATATGGAATAAATACATAGAATACACCATCTTACCCCGAGCAGGTCGTCATCTACAAACAGAAGTCCTTCGAAGCCGCTGGTGTGATCCAGGACGACCGGCTGGGGGCCCAGACGGCCTTCGACAGGCTGATCTGCAGACACACAGAGTCAAACACCGTTAAGCTGCAGCACAATGCAAGAAGCTCCTTCCTGTGTTCAGTCGGAGAGCGTCCACATGAAGCGGAGTACATTTAAAACACTTTTCGTTTCAACCCTTTCGTCCACACGAACAGCGTTTTCCATGTGGAGTTTATTAAGTCACCGTTTCGCACTCGTTCAGTCGTCTGACAGCAGCAACACAAAAATAAATATATGAAAAACAAGTTTATGTTGAATTCAGCTGCTAAAACAGGGTGGCGACGGTCAGAGAGAGCAGGAGGAGACTGAAGGCTGGTTTAATAGAGACACTGGTCTGGAGTCTGTTCAGGAAACATCCAGTCGTCTCTAACGTCCTCTGTGATCGATCATTTTAGACGTCAGTAAAACAGAGCACACGGCTGCTGTCATCAACCTGGATTTATGCTGGTTTAGTCACAGTGCCCGTCTCCCTCCTCAGCGGATGTTGGCTGTGATGCAGTTTTGGGTTTGTAACAGAAAAGAAATGAAGAAGAAGAAGAGATGAAAACTGAGAGTGCGGTGAGGCCGCTGCGGTAAGGACTGGGGTCCCTCTACCAGGGGAGCGATCGGGTCGCCTCAAAGATTTAACAATGTCAGTCGCAACACGAGTGTGTGCGTATGTGAGGGCTTGGTTTATTATGTTGGTGGGGTCCAGAAACTGGGATCCAACAAGGGTCCAACAGTTTAAAGGGCAGCTCCCATCAAAAAGCCAACTCGTTCGTTATTATATACAGTAACTTTGCTAGTGTTTACAGCCAACAGCTGATGAGAGTTGTTCTGGGTCCACGTCAGAGCCCTGACAGGGTTCTACCTGGAGCCGAATTACCTCCGAGGTCGTCTCCTCTCCAAAACAAACAGACCCGCTCAATAAAACATTAAAACACAGCCACGTAGCAACGTTAGCTTTAGCCCTGTAAACAGCTAACAGCTGATCCAGGTCGGCCAGAGAACGCAAGGTAACTTTTCCTTTTTATTTACCAACAGAGCCGTTCTGTAGTTTCACAGCAGAGGAACAAGTAAAATGTTCCCCAGACCTGGATGTCATTGAAAATCTGTGGGGTGATTTGATGCGGGCTGTCCACGCTCGGCAACCGTCAAACCTAACTGAACTGGAGATGTTTTGCAAGGAGGAAAGGTCCAAAATACCTTCATCCAGACACTCATCACAGGCTATAGGAAGCGTCTAGAGGCCGTTATTTCTGCTAACTAAATACTTATTTGATATTTCTGTTAGGGTGCCCAAATGTATGCACTTTCCTTTCCGAGACCATTTTACACGCCTTCATCTCATCACGCCTGGATTATTGCAACAGCCTTTTCACCTGTTTAACCCAAAAATCTATTGATGGACTCCAGACTGTCCAGAACTCAGCTGCCAGGCTTTTAACCAGAACAAAGAAATATGACCACATTACTCCTATTTTAGCTTCATTACACTGGCTCCCAGTATGTTTTAGAATTGACTTTAAAATTCTATTGATCACTTTTAAAGCTCTTCATGGCCTCATTATATTTCTGACCTTTTAGTCCCATACGCACCAGCACGTACCTTGAGATCCTCGGGCAGAGGTCTGTTGTCTGTTCCAGAGTCTGGACTGAAAACTAAAGGGGACAGAGCGTTTGCTGTCAGGGGCCCGAGGCCCCCTTCTTAAAACATACTTTTATAGGAGAGCCTTTCCCGATCTTATTTGACTTTATTTTATCCCTTTTATTTTATTGTATTTTACTAATTTATATTAAATTTTCATGCTCTTATCTTGGTTTTTTTTGTATTATTCTTTACACTTGTTAAAGCACTTTGTAACTTGTTTTTGAAAAGTGCTCTACAAATAAGGATTATTATTAATATTATTATTTTGATGCATATTGCACATTTTTGGTTCATCCAATAAACCTCATTTCACTACTGAAACATTACTGTGTCTTTCAGTTATTTGATAGCTCAAAATGAAATTGCTGATCCAAATACCTAAATATTTTTAAATGAAAATCATGGAAATTGTCAGGGGTGCCTAAACTTTTGCATACGAGTGTATACTGTCTTAGGGTGAGGGCGGAGTGGCGAAACAAGGGATTGGGGGGTTAGGGTTAAGGTTAGGCTTGTAGTTGTGAAGGTGAAGGTTAGGGTAAAGGGCTAGGGAATGCATTATGTCAATATAGAAACAAACGTGTGTGTCCTTACCTCTGATGTCCTCAGTGGGTTCTCCTTCAGACAACAATCTCTCCAGGTGAGTACCAAGATCCTGGAAACCAAGAGGCTTCCTGCGCAAGAGGAAGAGGAAAAACTTTTTAGGAGTAATAACACAAGGAGAACGGAGCCAACAAGAGATCAGCCGAGTGATCGTTTGTTATGCTCAAGCTGAAATGTACCTGCATATGAAAAGTCTATTTATACTAATCAAGTCAAAAGACATTAGGCTGTTCAGATGTGACCAGCGTTAAAAAGAGGCTGCTGTGGGATAGAAAGAGTCCAGGACTGCAGAGCTCTGCACCCAAACAGTAACAACGTAGGCCTGCCATTCATTATAATGCGGGAGGAAACTGATTGGACCGACAGTACGCTGACGAAACACCTGCGCTTTTCACCGCGTAAGAGAGACAAGGTGTGAATGTGAAAAGGTCAGACACCTGGTTTGATAAAATACAGAGAGTCGCTCTGATGCTGATGTTCTCTCGTCCTCGTTATCAGGGGAGCTCAGCGTAGAATTCATTCAGGAAGCAGCTCCTCGTGTTCAGCTGATTACAATGACAACAACGCCTCCGCTCATGGCAGCTGTGACTAATTAACGGGAATTTGCTGAGAACCAAAAGTAAAACGCGTCTGTTGTTGGTTTGTGTGTGACAGAACTCAATTTAAAGATCCTCTGTGAGGGAAGAAGCTCCACTCTGTAACACCACTGTACAACCAGAGGGAGAAAAAGTGTCATATTGGACTGTGTCAGCAGATTAAGGATCAGTGTTTCGACATGTGAAACTCCCACCTGATCCTCACAAAGCCGGCTGCTGGTCTGTAAGGAGGATCACACACACACACACAGGGACATGGTGTCTATGTATAGAGCTGATGGGGGGTAACGTGAATCTGTCTGGGTTAAGAAAAGAGCCCGCTGTAACACTAGTCCAGGTCAGGGTACAAAACACATTCTGTACACACAAATAAACATGTGCTCAGCGTTTCATCAGCTGGGAAAGAGTTATTATCTGTTGCTCAGCACATCTTCTCCAGCCTCCTGTTTCTCTAATCAAACCGACGACACGTTTGTTCATCAGGACCGGCTCCCACGCACAGAACCTCACATGTGAACCTCAAGGTGGCGCTACAGGAGAAAGTCAGAGTATCAAGAAAATCAGTGGGATTCATCCTCTGGGGAGCATGAACACAATTTCAAGGCAGTCCATCCAGCGGTTTTCGAGATATTTCACAGAATAACTAGAAGAAAAGTCACTTGAGTTGTCAGAAAGAGCCACACCGGTTCTTCTAAATACGCTGTTCACCTTGTAACGTGATAAACCCGCTGCCCTGTCTATGACCCAACAATAAAAGATTTTGATGTGAAGCAACAGCAGCTGGAAATTCAAGATTACTTTATTTTTCCCAAAAGCAAATGTTTCTTGGACATAAAGGTCGCTAAATAAAGTAAATACGTACAATTATAGGGCAGTAACAGACGTAGTGCAGACAAAAAACGCATTCAGTCCATACAAACACAGCCTCTCATTTCAGATCCTCCATCTGAGTTTTTAAACCTATTCAGGTGTCTTTTCCTGTATTTTATTGGAACCCTACAGAGTCTACCTGTGGACAGGACATGGAAGAGGTCAGCGATCGTTTTTCCCAGCCTGTTTCACTAATATCTTCTGCTCCCTCGCTCCCATCACTTCCTTTGCTGCGTGGACCAGTCTACTACGTCGTGATTTTGTGACCAAAAAGAAGCTACGTTTCCATGCTCGGCTTGCATCAGCGGCAACTTAACAACGGCTCTGACACACTAAAGCGACCGATACGCAGAAACATAAAAACGTGATCCGAATGTACAGACATGAGGACCCTGATGGACTGAAGTGGGGCCGCCGTTACCTGAGGGAGGCCAGAGCAGGTCCCTGTTTGGTGGAAGGAAACACATGGTGCAGGTAGTCGCTCAGCAACTTCTCATTCACGATACCTGACAGAGGGAGAGAGACAATCATCGCCATCACAATACTGTAAGAAACACGTGTTGCCAGTACATGTACTTAGACCCGTACTTCATCTGTGTACCTGCTCCAAATCCTGTTGCAGCTCTTATGATTTAAAAAAAGATTATCCGATGGTGTCAAGTGACTAATCAATTAATCTTTGCGGCTCTAATGAGGTTACTCGCCTCTGAAATCCCACCAAATCTTCACCATCACCACGTGTGCAGCACAAAGCTACAGCCGACCCTGAACCAACACGTACACGCAGTATTCTCCCAGCGGGACGTACCTGTGGCTTTGGGTTTGTCTGTGTCTGAAGCCAGTCTGTAGTTGCGGCGTGTCAGAGCGGTGCCGCCCCCTTTAGAGCTCATCCTGTCTGCAGACACCTGGGGTCACCTGGGGTCACCTGGGGTCACCTGGGGTCACCAGACACTGCTGAGGAACAGAGAGGGGACATTTAATGACCATTTAACTACTCTAAATACATGAGGCTGAGAATACTTGTGTACTTTTACTGTGGATACTGTAACTACATGAGGCTGAGAATACTTGTGTACTTTTACTGTGGATACTGTAACTACATGAGGCTGAGAATACTTGTGTACTTTTACTGTGGATACTGTAACTACATGAGGCTGAGAATACTTGTGTACTTTTACTGTGGATACTGTAACTACATGAGGCTGAGAATACTTGTGTACTTTTACTGTGGATACTGTAACTACATGAAGCTGAGAATACTTGTGTACTTTTACTGTGGATACTGTAACTACATGAGGCTGAGAATACTTGTGTACTTTTACTGTGGATACTGTAACTACATGAAGCTGAGAATACTTGTGTACTTTTACTGTGGATACTGTAACTACATGAGGCTGAGAATACTTGTGTACTTTTACTGTGGATACTGTAACTACATGAGGCTGAGAATACTTGTGTACTTTTACTGTGGATACTGTAACTACATGAGGCTGAGAATACTTGTGTACTTTTACTGTGGATACTGTAACTACATGAGGCTGAGAATACTTGTGTACTTTTACTGTGGATACTGTAACTACATGAGGCTGAGAATACTTGTGTACTTTTAAATCTGTACTTTTACTGTGGATACTGTAACTACATGAGGCTGAGAATACTTGTGTACTTTTAAATCTGTACTTTTACTGTGGATACTGTAACTACATGAAGCTGAGAATACTTGTATACTTTTCAATCTGTACTTTTACTGTGGATACTGTAACTACATGAAGCTGAGAATACTTGTGTACTTTTACTGTGGATACTGTAACTACATGAGGCTGAGAATACTTGTGTACTTTTCAATCTGTACTTTTACTGTGGATACTGTAACTACATGAGGCTGAGAATACTTGTGTACTTTTAAATCTGTACTTTTACTGTGGATACTGTAACTACATGAAGCTGAGAATACTTGTGTACTTTTACTGTGGATACTGTAACTACATGAAGCTGAGAATACTTGTGTACTTTTACTGTGGATACTGTAACTACATGAAGCTGAGAATACTTGTGTACTTTTAAATCTGTACTTTTACAGTCGATACTGTAACTACATGAAGCTGAGAATACTTGTATACTTTTACTGTCAATACAGTAACTACATGAAGCTGAGAATACTTGTGTACTTTTACTGTGGATACTGTAACTACATGAAGCTGAGAATACTTGTGTACTTTTACTGTCGATACTGTAACTACATGAAGCTGAGAATACTTGTGTACTTTTAAATCTGTACTTTTACTGTGGATACTGTAACTACATGAAGCTGAGAATACTTGTGTACTTTTAAATCTGTACTTTTACTGTGGATACTGTAACTACATGAAGCTGAGAATACTTGTGTACTTTTACTGTAGATACTGTAACTACATGAAGCTGAGAATACTTGTGTACTTTTAAATCTGTACTTTTACTGTGGATACTGTAACTACATGAAGCTGAGAATACTTGTGTACTTTTAAATCTGTACTTTTACTGTGGATACTGTAACTACATGAAGCTGAGAATACTTGTGTACTTTTAAATCTGTACTTTTACTGTGGATACTGTTACTACATGAAGCTGAGAATACTTGTGTACTTTTAAATCTGTACTTTTACAGTCGATACAGTAACTACATGAAGCTGAGAATACTTGTGTACTTTTAAATCTGTACTTTTACAGTCGATACAGTAACTACATGAAGCTGAGAATACTTGTGTACTTTTACTGTGGATACTGTAACTACATGAAGCTGAGAATACTTGTATACTTTTAAATCTGTACTTTTACTGTGGATACTGTAACTACATGAGGCTGAGAATACTTGTGTACTTTTACTGTCGATACTGTAACTACATGAGGCTGAGAATACTTGTGTACTTTTACACTCGATACAGTAACTACATGAGGCTGAGAATACTTGTTTACTTTTAAATCTGTACTTTTACTGTGGATACTGTAACTACATGAAGCTGAGAATACTTGTGTACTTTTACTGTCGATACTGTAACTACATGAGGCTGAGAATACTTGTGTACTTTTACTGTGGATACTGTAACTACATGATGTTGAGAATACTTGTGTACTTTTACTGTGGATACTGTAACTACATGATGCTGAGAATACTTGTACTTTTACTGTGGATACTGTAACTACATGAGGCTGAGAATACTTGTGTACTTTTAAATCTGTACTTTTACTGTGGATACAGTAACTACATGAAGCTGAGAATACTTGTATACTTTTAAATCTGTACTTTTACTGTGGATACTGTAACTACATGAAGCTGAGAATACTTGTGTACTTTTACTGTGGATACTGTAACTACATGAGGCTGAGAATACTTGTGTACTTTTAAATCTGTACTTTTACTGTGGATACTGTAACTACATGAAGCTGAGAATACTTGTGTACTTTTAAATCTGTACTTTTACTGTGGATACTGTAACTACATGAGGCTGAGAATACTTGTGTACTTTTACTGTGGATACTGTAACTACATGAGGCTGAGAATACTTGTGTACTTTTACTGTGGATACTGTAACTACATGAAGCTGAGAATACTTGTGTACTTTTAAATCTGTACTTTTACAGTCGATACTGTAACTACATGAAGCTGAGAATACTTGTGTACTTTTACTGTCGATACTGTAACTACATGAAGCTGAGAATACTTGTGTACTTTTACTGTGGATACTGTAACTACATGAAGCTGAGAATACTTGTGTACTTTTACTGTGGATACTGTAACTACATGAAGCTGAGAATACTTGTGTACTTTTACTATCGATACTGTAACTACATGAGGCTGAGAATACTTGTGTACTTTTAAATCTGTACTTTTACTTTGGATACTGTAACTACATGAAGCTGAGAATACTTGTATACTTTTAAATCTGTACTTTTACTGTGGATACTGTAACTACATGAAGCTGAGAATACTTGTGTACTTTTACTGTAGATACTGTAACTACATGAAGCTGAGAATACTTGTGTACTTTTAAATCTGTACTTTTACTGTGGATACTGTAACTACATGAAGCTGAGAATACTTGTGTACTTTTAAATCTGTACTTTTACTGTGGATACTGTTACTACATGAAGCTGAGAATACTTGTGTACTTTTAAATCTGTACTTTTACTGTGGATACTGTTACTACATGAAGCTGAGAATACTTGTGTACTTTTAAATCTGTACTTTTACTGTGGATACTGTAACTACATGAAGCTGAGAATACTTGTGTACTTTTACAGTCGATACAGTAACTACATGAAGCTGAGAATACTTGTGTACTTTTACTGTCGATACTGTAACTACATGAAGCTGAGAATACTTGTATACTTTTAAATCTGTACTTTTACTGTGGATACTGTAACTACATGAGGCTGAGAATACTTGTGTACTTTTACTGTCGATACTGTAACTACATGAGGCTGAGAATACTTGTGTACTTTTACACTCGATACTGTAACTACATGATGCTGAGAATACTTGTTTACTTTTACTGTGGATACTGTAACTACATGAGGCTGAGAATACTTGTGTACTTTTAAATCTGTACTTTTACTGTGGATACTGTAACTACATGATGCTGAGAATACTTGTGTACTTTTAAATCTGTACTTTTACAGTCGATACTGTAACTACATGATGCTGAGAATACTTGTGTACTTTTACTGTGGATACTGTAACTACATGATGTTGAGAATACTTGTGTACTTTTACTGTGGATACTGTAACTACATGATGTTGAGAATACTTGTGTACTTTTACAGTCGATACTGTAACTACATGATGCTGAGAATACTTGTGTACTTTTACTGTGGATACTGTAACTACATGAGGCTGAGAATACTTGTGTACTTTTACAGTCGATACTGTAACTACATGAAGCTGAGAATACTTGTGTACTTTTACTGTGGATACTGTAACTACATGAAGCTGAGAATACTTGTGTACTTTTACTGTGGATACTGTAACTACATGAAGCTGAGAATACTTGTGTACTTTTACTGTGGATACTGTAACTACATGAAGCTGAGAATACTTGTGTACTTTTAAATCTGTACTTTTACTGTGGATACTGTTACTACATGAAGCTGAGAATACTTGTATACTTTTAAATCTGTACTTTTACTGTGGATACTGTAACTACATGAGGCTGAGAATACTTGTGTACTTTTACTGTGGATACTGTAACTACATGAGGCTGAGAATACTTGTGTACTTTTACACTCGATACAGTAACTACATGAGGCTGAGAATACTTGTGTACTTTTACTGTGGATACTGTAACTACATGAGGCTGAGAATACTTGTGTACTTTTACTGTGGATACTGTAACTACATGAGGCTGAGAATACTTGTGTACTTTTAAATCTGTACTTTTACTGTGGATACTGTAACTACATGAGGCTGAGAATACTTGTGTACTTTTACTGTCGATACTGTAACTACATGAAGCTGAGAATACTTGTGTACTTTTAAATCTGTACTTTTACTGTCGATACTGTAACTACATGAAGCTGAGAATACTTGTGTACTTTTAAATCTGTACTTTTACTGTGGATACTGTTACTACATGAAGCTGAGAATACTTGTGTACTTTTACTGTGGATACTGTAACTACATGAAGCTGAGAATACTTGTGTACTTTTAAATCTGTACTTTTACAGTCGATACTGTAACTACATGAAGCTGAGAATACTTGTGTACTTTTAAATCTGTACTTTTACAGTCGATACTGTAACTACATGAAGCTGAGAATACTTGTATACTTTTAAATCTGTACTTTTACTGTGGATACTGTAACTACATGAGGCTGAGAATACTTGTGTACTTTTAAATCTGTACTTTTACAGTCGATACTGTAACTACATGAAGCTGAGAATACTTGTGCACTTTTAAATCTGTACTTTTACTGTGGATACTGTAACTACATGATGCTGAGAATACTTGTGTACTTTTACAGTCGATACTGTAACTACATGAAGCTGAGAATACTTGTGTACTTTTAAATCTGTACTTTTACAGTCGATACTGTAACTACATGAAGCTGAGAATACTTGTGTACTTTTAAATCTGTACTTTTACAGTCGATACTGTAACTACATGAAGCTGAGAATACTTGTGTACTTTTAAATCTGTACTTTTACAGTTGATACTGTAACTATGAGGCTGAGAATACTTGTGTACTTTTAAATCTGTACTTTTACAGTTGATACTGTAACTATGAGGCTGAGAATACTTGTGTACTTTTAAATCTGTACTTTTACAGTCGATACTGTAACTACATGAAGCTGAGAATACTTGTGTACTTTTAAATCTGTACTTTTACTGTGGATACTGTTACTATATGAGGCTGAGAATACTTGTGTACTTTTAAATCTGTACTTTTACAGTCGATACTGTAACTACATGAAGCTGAGAATACTTGTGCACTTTTAAATCTGTACTTTTACTGTGGATACTGTTACTACATGATACTGAGAATACTTGTGTACTTTTACTGTGGATACTGTAACTACATGAAGCTGAGAATACTTGTGTACTTTTAAATCTGTACTTTTACAGTCGATACTGTAACTACATGAAGCTGAGAATACTTGTGTACTTTTAAATCTGTACTTTTACAGTTGATACTGTAACTATATGAGGCTGAGAATACTTGTGTACTTTTAAATCTGTACTTTTACTGTGGATACTGTAACTACATGATACTGAGAATACTTGTGTACTTTTACAGTCGATACTGTAACTACATGAAGCTGAGAATACTTGTGTACTTTTAAATCTGTACTTTTACAGTCGATACTGTAACTACATGAAGCTGAGAATACTTGTGTACTTTTAAATCTGTACTTTTACAGTCGATACTGTAACTACATGAAGCTGAGAATACTTGTGTACTTTTAAATCTGTACTTTTACAGTTGATACTGTAACTATGAGGCTGAGAATACTTGTGTACTTTTAAATGTGTACTTTTACTGTGGATACTGTAACTACATGATGCTGAGAATACTTGTGTACTTTTAAATCTGTACTTTTACTGTGGATACTGTTACTACATGATGCTGAGAATACTTGTGTACTTTTACTGTGGATACTGTAACTACATGAAGCTGAGAATACTTGTGTACTTTTAAATCTGTACTTTTACTGTGGATACTGTAACTACATGAAGCTGAGAATACTTGTGTACTTTTACTGTGGATACTGTAACTACATGAAGCTGAGAATACTTGTGTACTTTTAAATCTGTACTTTTACTGTGGATACTGTAACTACATGAAGCTGAGAATACTTGTGTACTTTTACTGTGGATACTGTAACTACATGAAGCTGAGAATACTTGTGTACTTTTACTGTGGATACTGTAACTACATGAAGCTGAGAATACTTGTGTACTTTTACTGTGGATACTGTAACTACATGAAGCTGAGAATACTTGTGTACTTTTAAATCTGTACTTTTACAGTCGATACTGTAACTACATGAAGCTGAGAATACTTGTGTACTTTTACTGTGGATACTGTAACTACATGAGGCTGAGTGTACTTTTATGTAAGTAGGGCTTTTAATGAAGGCCTTCTTCATGTAATGGGAGTACTTTTTCATTGCTGTACTTTTACCACAGTACAGAATGAGGGTACTCCTGCCTCTGCTGTCTCTACCAGGTCACCTCACGTAAACTGTGCGCAGCAGTTTCAATGACAGAGAAGCCAAATCAAACCTGGCTGTGTAACAAACCTCCAAGCTAGCGACCAACATCAGCACTAAAAATAAGTTTCCTGGTTTAAGATAAATCTCTTTATCTGGACCAGCTGTCGGGTTAGAGTTACACAAATTACCGGACACGTCCCGTAATAGTTTATAGCACCGCAGAGCTCCACAGCAGTGCGTTACATGTCAGCCCTAGTTAGCTTTGTGGCTAACGGCTCAGTGACAGCAGCAGACTGTTGTGCTAAGCAGCAGCTAGCAGCTAGCAGCTAACGGCGGCTAACGGAACACGACGAGCTGACAGCAGCGACTCTCTTACCCGCTTCTTCGGTCTGCACGAGTCTCTCCTCCCGCTGCCACCCGCTCCTGCTCTGCTATGTTCACTGCTGTTGAAAGGAAAAATATCACACGGGCTGCTGTCGTGAGAAAAAGCTTCTTTTTACCACAACAGTCCTGTGAACGCCTCTCACGTTACGGAGCGCCAGCTGGGACAAAATAAGGCTTCGCGCTTGGGCAAAAAACGCGACTGCTACAGAGAGACTGAGGTTGGCTCCTAAAAAGATGGTATATTTAGCAGAGGTGTTGTTTTACAAGTCACAAGTCAAGTCCCAAGTCCAGACCGGTCGAGACCAACAAGTCAGAGTCAAGTCTCAAGTCAAGACCGACAAGTCTCAAGTCAAGTCTCAAGTCAAGTCTCAAGTCAAGTCCCAAGTCCAGACCCGAGACCAGCAAGTCAGAGTCAAGTCTCAAGTCAAGACCGACAAGTCTCAAGTCAAGTCTCAAGTCAAGTCTCAAGTCAAGTCCCAAGACCAGACCAGTCGAGACCAACAAGTCAGAGTCAAGTCTCAAGTCAAGTCTCAAGTCAAGTCTCAAGTCAAGTCCCGAGACCAGCAAATCAGAGTCAAGTCTCAAGTCAAGTCCCAAGTCCAGACCGGTCGAGACAGGCAAATTAGAGTCAAGTCTCAAGTCAAGTCCCAAGTCCAGACCGGTCGAGACCAACAAGTCTCAAGTCAAGTCCAAAGTCCAGACTGGTCGAGACAGGCAAGTCAGAGTCAAGTCTCAAGTCAAGACCGACAAGTCTCAAGTCAAGTCCCAAGTCCAGACCGGTCGAGACAGGCAAGTCAGAGTCAAGTCTCAAGTCAAGACCGACAAGTCTCAAGTCAAGTCTCAAGTCAAGACCGAGTGAAGTCACAAGTCATTGGTGTTAAAATCAAAGTTGAGTTGCAAGTCTTTTTTAATTTTGTCGAGTCTAAAGCCATCAAATTAGTGACGTGACTCTGACTTGAGTCCAAGTCATGTGACTCGAATCCACACTCCTGCTATTTAGTAACCGATTCTCCATTTTTGTACCACGTATAGCTGTTACAGTAACAGCTGGCTTCGTAGTGAAAGACTTCAGGCTTTTAAACCGCACTTTCTGATTTGTGAAACCTTCATTTCAGGGCAATTTCACTGCTTCTTCTTCACTGAGTCCAGAACCCACTATATCTGGACTTGAATGACAAGTAGACTCTCGGACAGTTTGAAATACAGTTTCAGATGTGTGAAAATTAAATTCTATTTAGAAAACAAAAGATTTCTGCGTTTCGATCATACTGGAGCAGGTCTACATCAGAAACCACTAAAGTTCAAATGTCAAATTAATTGACACTTTAAAAACAACCCTAGTTGACCGAAGTGCTTTCCAAGCTCAGGATGCACAAACATACAAAACAAAGACAGTAGAAAAGGTCAAGGTCTCAAAACTCAACTCGAATTAAAATAAGCAAGGACTTCAGCAGTCTGAGCAGTTCTTATTTGAACAGGTAGAATATTCCAGAGATTTGGAGCCGCCACTGAAAAGACTCGGTCGCCTTTATCATTTACCCTGGATCAGGAGACACTGAGGAGAATCTGAACAGACCTCTTAATTAGTATCATTATTAGGCTAGATTAACATGTAGACTGGTTTAAAAAACATGTTCATGACTATGAAAATAAAAGGTTTTACAAATCTGAGCCGAGCTTTTTATGTGGATGGAGAAAGACCTTTTTTCTATGTTTTTAATAACAGAATAACGATTTCTGAAACTGACTCTAGAGCTTATTTGTTAATCTTGTCCAGTAAGTCAAGTCCTAAATAAAGGATTCACAAATCAGAGAGTGGGCTTTAAGTGGTGCAAACAGGGAAAACCATCCACTAAATCCTCTAAACCTTTTCCTTAATTAGAAGCAGACTTTAGCATCATCAAAAAACAGAGTGACATTTGTCTGTTCTTTTGGGAATTAATTATGGAATAACCCAGAATATGATCATGGTGTCTTTTTGACATTGGAAATGATTTATTAGGCCAAATGGTTCAGGGGAAATCTCATATCTGCTGCTCATGGCTCCTCAGAGATCCCTCCTCGATCCTCGCAGCCTGAAATATTATATTAAATTAATATTATTAGACAGCATGGAAATGTCAAATTGACTCTTAGGATGTTCCCAATCTGCAGTGGTAAACAAAATCGAGAAAAGTACTGTGCAGTGGAAATTAGGCTTTTTCAATTCTGCAAGGATTTGAACCTATCAGACCACTGCAGGGGCAACAAAGCTCAGTCAACACAACCAGCGGGGAGATCTGAGGACAACCAGTGGAAACTCAGACTAGACTCATAAATATAATAATAACTGTACTGAAAAATGTTCAAATTATTATTTTTATTGTTTGTTATTTTAGTAATTTTTCCTTTACTTGTTTTTTTCATTTCATATTTGATACTGATTTTATGTATTTTGTCCATTAATATACAAACACGTATACTGTTTTATTTTTAATAAACCATATGAATTGAATTCACAACACAAACGACCTTACAGTTTTATTTATTTTCATTGTTAATATATATTTATTTTATTTTTTATTCACACAAAAAACACATTTTTACTGTTTTATTTCCTATATTTAATTTCTTTGGCAATATTGTTGTTTTACATTGATGCCAATAAAGCTGAATTGAATTGAGATCTAAACTGGTCAGATTTTTAACCTCATTGTTAGCTTCGGCAGCAAACTGTCATATTAACTAGCCACCTAGAAAGCTTTTAGCCTTAGCTGCAATGATACAGCACCACTAATGTACGAGCAAATCATTCTCCACCTGCAGTGACAAACACACAAGCTAACCAAGTTCATGCTGCCACATTACAGCTGCAGAGCTTTACTGAGGCTTCAAACTAAGAGAACTGGTCTCGGTCAGACTTTTAAGCAATTAATAGTACGGTGATGAATGGTGCAGCTGTGCAGAGTTATTTTAAAGTCACCTGAATTGTTTGATGTGTATATGCATGTTTCTTGTGGTATTGCTGTCGTCTTTATGCTGCTGTCTTGGCCAGGTCACCCTTGTAAAAGAGATCCCTGATCTCAAATGGTCTCACCTGGTTAAAGATGGGTTAAATAAAAAATAAAAATAAAACAGAGTTAACATTACATGACTGCTTTTACCTGATGGGCTCCGACTGCTATGGATGTCGCTGCCAGAAGTGATAATAAAACAAGCAAAACAACAACAACAACAAACAAAACAGCTAAAATTTAATAATTTAATATTTATTGTCAAAAGATTCTGAATTTACAGAGTTACTAAGGCAGGCACGTTCTGAAGACAAAAATAAATCAGCTGCATTTGTTTGAGGACAGCAAAAGATTAAAATACAAAACACTCTTCTGAAAATATCCCGTACTCAAGACTGATAAAAGACAAAGCAGCAGAAATTATATCAGCACTTTTAAAAACACAAAGTGTTTCACAAGTGAAACGACAGCAGGTTTTATACGTTAACGTCATCTGCATTTAATCTTCCAAGACAGTTTCACAGCTAACTGGAATTAAAGTGCAAATAACTGCTGCGTTTCTTCTCGTGTGGCTTGTTGGGCAGAGGACGCCGGCGTGAGCGTCGCCGGACACAAAGAGAGGATTTTACTGGGACACAAAAACACCTCAGGACCACAGAGGAAACAACCTCTTTCACATCTAAAATTATTATAGATTAGAAACATTTTTCATAATTAAACTAACCAATATGAGACATCAATATGCTTTTAGAGATGCAACATACTCAGAACTAAAATAATAATCTCTTTTTTTCATTATTGATTAATCAGCCGTTATTCTCTTGATTCATTTGTTGACAGATGAACAGTGAAAAATCCCCATTTCCCACAGTTCAATGTGACGTCTCCAAATGTTTTACAAGAAAAGCTGAGAATATTCATTATTTAGAGGATGGAATTACTGAATTTTTCCATTTGAACATAAAAATTATTAATCGGTTATCAAAAACTTTATCTGACGAACTGATTAATTTGTTTCAGATTAAAAAAATAAAGCTATAGACAAGTTTGTCTTTGACTATGAACATCATCGGGCAACATTTCTGCTGACTCTCGGTCAGATAAAAGCGTGTTGACGCTGAAAGACGTCGGAGACAATCTGTCGATCGTCACCAGGCGGCTGCAGCCCGATCAGTTTTTATGGATCCCACTTCCTCAAATACATTCAGGTCCAGGTTCAGCGCAAAGACAGAGGGTTGCTGACGGAGGGAGGGCTCTGATTGGACCAGCAGACTCCCTCTCAGCCCATGTAGGGGTACCTCCAGTCTGTGAGGGGGACGTGGGTTTCCTTCACCACCTGCGGCGACGTCCATCTCAGGACGTAGTGTGGACCTCCGGGTTTGTCATTGGTTCCTTGATGAAGAGCAAAGTGAACAGGTGAACACAGCTGACAGACACAGACTGAGACTCACCTGCAGGGAGAGGGTTCCCCTGCGTGCTCCTCTGATCGCACGCAGAGAAACGCCTTCTCTTACCTGAAGCTCTGGCGCCACCGAACGGCTGCTGAGCCACAATGGAGCCGGTGGATTTATCGTTTACATAGTAGTTCCCCGCGGCGTTTCTCAAGGCTTTCGCCGCCTCGTCGATCACATTCCTGCAACGCAAAGAGGCCGGCAGATAAAAACAAAGACATCAAACCGAGATCAAAACACTCAAAACGACAGAGGCATCAATGAGGAGAAGGTTTGCTGCTGTGATCTCATCACAGAGATTCTCATCCTTTGATGAGAAAAAGCTGAAGGTTTCAGGAGGAGCTGGAAAATAAATCCTCTTTATGGAAATGTTCTGGCAGGTTTTCCTGTCAGCGTCACGTCTGAAGAAACGCCCGAGTCAAAATTAGCATCCCAGTTAATGTGAAATACGGACGCACTTTGCTAACCCAGCTAGCTCCACAATACTCCTCAAAGCAACAGGTGACGTCAAGACGGCTGTGTCCACTTCTTTTAAACCATCTGTAGTGCACACATTTTCAGATGGACTGAGATTTATAAAAAGGAAAAGTTACCTGCAGATCTTATGAATCTGAATTTTTTGGTAAAGATCTATTTTAGTTTTATAAATAAGTGGTTACTCAGGGTTAAAATGCCGTCCTGAAAGATGAGTTAAAAAATGCTTTCAGTCCTAAAAAAAAAAAGATC